TACTGGTCGAAAACGAGTCCTTCTATAGAAGGACTATTCCCTCCAATACCTTCCCTTCTAATTATCTTAGACCCAGCTGCTTCACCACTGTTTCTATAATGAAAGGAGAGATGGAGCTTTTATTTCCCCAGGGACAGAGACATTGTCAATTATCTGCAGTTTCCTGCTATCAGCTGTCACTGAGAAGGGGGGGGGGGGGGAAATCTGTTCACATTTTTTCTTCTGTAGAGACTGTGCTGATGTACAACTAGTGTAGGCAATACTAAGTGTATTAAATTATGCTAATCTACAGTGTGTATTTATATTTGCTTTAAGTAGATCATTTTAAAATCAAATACCAGTGATGCATCAACACCACGGCTTGAAATATAAGAGCATTAATTGATTTAGAACTAATACAGAACTCTTAAACCTTAATTGTATTTTGATCTAATCTTATTTTCAAAATACACTTTCTATTAAGAGGGGGAAAAACATCCCACTTGTAAAGTACATCAGTATATCAGGTAACTATTACATTTGGAATTAGGAATTCAGTCATCACAGAGAACAAACAAAAACCTTCTCAGTAATTTTAATAGTCATGGGATCCCATTGAAATCAATAGATTTGCCTGAGTAAACTCTTGAAGATTGGGCCTTATGGTAATTACAGTATATTAATGAACATACATGCTGTTTCTCTTACAGGATCAAGTCCAATTTACAATACACCAAAACGGGAAGTCAGGATTTACTGGCTAGGAATTCATTTTTTCTCTACGTAGAGAATGTAGGGCATCCTAATTGTTAAATAATTCTCAAGTCCTTGGATGTTTGTGTTTTCAGTTATTTTCCCCTATTGCTAAGATTTCCCATGCTCCATTCAGCAACCCCTGAACTTTCCTTGGACCTACTCTTGCTTCTATTTAATTCAGAGGCAAAACTCCCATTGACTTAAAATAAGTTATACTTACACCTACTGCAGTTGGCACCAAAAGATGATTGATCAAAACACAAAAGGTTTCCCTTCAATAGAGACCCCAATATAGATATCATTAGCAGGTCTGTGAGATTGTATCTTTTGTGGTTCTCTCTTGTTCACACCTTTCAGTAATATGTTATTTGTATTTAGCTAACATATGGCTGTCTTATGAAATTCAGGGATGATATCTTTCAAAGACTGCCTGTTAAATATATGTTAATGAATTATTTAAAATATTTAGGGGAAATAGACAGTATTATACAACTATGTATAGTGTTTTCAATTTATAAAAGTACAACTCTGAAGTCTAATTGGATTTTGCAGACCCACAATCAAGGTTTAAAATGATTCAAAGAGACTATTCCTTTGACAGTCCCAGCTCATGGGCTGTATTGGAAGCTTTGCTGCAGAGAGGAATTTTCCCCCCCCTAAAACACAGGAATAATCACAAGTTATAAAATTAGGCGTCAAATCCTCTCACATGACTGGTATGTTTTCAGCCTATACTAACAGACTCATCGTAAAATGCTATTTTATTCTGAAAAGTGACTCAATTCATGGCATTGTGGGGGGTCTATGTTTGTTGTCTCTGTTACTCAGGGCTGCCCAGAGGATTCAGGGGGCCTGGGGCAAAGCAATTTCGGGGGCCCCTTCCATAAAAAAAATTGCAATACTATAGACTACTATATTCTTGTGGGGGCCCCTGTGGGGCCCGGGACCTGGGGCAAATTGCCCCACTTGCCCCCCTCCCCAGGCAGCCCTGCTGTTACTCCCATTTTTAATTTGCTCAGTTCAAAAATAAAAGGATGTTTTCTTTCTAACTGCCAGATCTGAGAGGCGAGTTGGATTCTTTCCATTTCATACAAAGACAAAGCAAAAGTAGATGTAGACAGGTCTTAATGTAATCATCAATTGTATTTGTTCCACACTTCATGTGGATTTCACGAGCAGATTCACAGCTAATAAATCAGCACGAAACATGAAGAGTAAAGTTGGTCAAAATATTTTTAACAAAAAAAGTTAAGTGGAAAATAACCTTTTAAAAGTCTTTGATTTCCTTTTTACTGATGACAACTGAAAATATTTGTGTGTGTGTATCTATCAGGAAATATTTTTGTTTAGACTGATAAATATTTATTCAATCAACACATTGTCACACTAAGGTTTTTTCTCTTTTGTGGCTAATAGGGACCCGATGGAATAGATAATTGTTGTAGTGTGTGTTAGCATTTTGACTAGAGTTTTGAATTTGCAGTACCTCATCAGATATTGCCCTAGTCCTCATGACTAATACCAGACTTAGTTGTTTTGTTCTGCTTATTTTTTGAGGAATGTTTGATAATCTGTATAAATGTTACTGCAGTTGAACCCAGCTGACTGTCAGAGGTGTTTAGCTTTTACCTTCACACCATCTCTAGAGTCTGTCTGGGGATGCACTAATCATCATGTCAAATCAGGCAAACACTGAACAATTATTACTGATTTGAATCTGTTTTTAAAGCAATACAAATTGCAGCATGCAGCACACAGATTAGCCAGTTTAAAGTCATTTGAGAAAATAGAGAGAACATCTTAAACTTGCAGCATGGTACCTGAAAGTACTGTAATCAGATTGTTCCCCATTATGTCTCTATTGTTTCTCAGCTGGGTTTGAACTACTTGACTCAGACTCTAATCAATGCTTAGACTTTACTGTATTCATATATGGGAGTTTGATCCTGTAAGGTGCTGAGTGGCTCTTGCCAGGTACTAAGCATCATCAAGTGGAAGCCGAGAAACTCTGCTCACTACAGGAGGTGCCCAGTGTCTTGAAGGATTGGATCCAAACATAGGGCCTGATTCTGGTCTCAGTTAATCTGATGTCAAGCTGGAGTATCTCCAGCAATACATAGAGGAAATTTATGCCATTACGTAAATTAGATCAACATTTTATTCTTATTAATAGTTACTGCTCTACTTAATAAGACAGCGTTACAGGTCTAACGAAAAGGCATTAATATAAGATTTCATGCAGTTCTGGCACAGACACAGATGTACAGAAGGCATCTGTGGAAGCCCTGTGAGAGGGGGCATGGCACAAAGTTTTGCAAGTTTCGTATTCCTAAAATATTACACTAAAACGCTATTCATTCCTTTTCACATGTGCCCTGCACACATCTGAAGATTTGGCTAATAAGCTATAACCAGTCTAATACCTAATATGCGTTCTGTATATTGAAGGAGCATACTGTGTATTAGAGTACATTTAGTCCATTTTAAGGCAGATGCTCTAGGTTCCTGCTTACAAAAAAATAAGACTCACAAAGTTCATTAAGATATTAATGGAGCTTCTTAGGGCTCTTTAACAAAGATCACAGTTATCTAGTAGTTATGGTAAAGATGAAAGATGGTCACAGCCTGATGCAATTACAAGGCCAGCATATCACAAAACCAAGATCATATCTACTCTGCCTTGACTAACCATGAGAATCCAATCAGTTCTGGCTTTTGAAACACAAAGATCAATGCTGGCTGCATCACACAGAAATCTTCAGGTTAGTAATAGTGACAACATTCCTGGGGCTAGAAATACTTTTGGCCGAGCTTCACAAAGTTACTTGTAGAAGCACCTCTTTGTGCTAAATAGAATTCCCTCTGAAATTGTATAGGAGAAGTCAAAGCCTTCAGTGGTGATTAATGAAATCTTAAAGAGTATTTGGCCATTTTAAGGTTACTAATCAAAATATAACTGGGCTGCCTGTGACATTTCAAAAATAGAATTAATTTTTCTTCATCTAGTGCATTTGAAATGCAGTAAGGATAAAGCTACTACATAGCTCCGGTGCCTATTTTTAGTAAATTCATTTAATGCTTGTGAAAGGTCGTAGATTATCAGCCCAAGGAGTAGTCCTCTTCCCACCGGACAGCAAGAACAACATAGTCTGAACCACAATGCCTTGCCTTGGTGTTTCAGTGTTGTTCAGCAAGCCTAGGGTTAAGAGAGCCATTCAGTCTCCCTGACTGCCCATTCAGCCCCTGCCTCTCTGCTGAGGTTGCCAAAGAGTCAGTTGTGCTAGACAGGTGTCCACATAAAAAAATACTACTAGGAAATTAACTGAAATCTCCAGTTCATTTCACTGAGGATGTTGAATGGGATAGACAACATTCTTGCCACAGAAGATAGCAGAGACAGTCTGATGAATTGACAGTGCACTTTCCCTCTCTATCACCCCACACAGATATTATTCTATTCCCTTCCCTTCCCAGAGTTCCTGCAATACACCCACATTATCTCCCCCTACCCCTATATCTCTCTGCAATAAGACGCTAACAGTTACTGAGATAAGGAAAGCTAAGAGGACAGGTTTAGGACTACTTATATTTTTCAATGAACCCTCATCATTGTCTTTGTAATAATACCGAGCCCATTTAATCTTCAGGGTATCTCAACACCTAGTAATCCCTATGAAGTAGGTAACCATGTATTCCGATTTCACAGATGGGGACACTGAGGCAGAGGGTTTAAATGACTAGTCCCAGGCCAAAGGGGTAGCCTGTGTCAGAATTAGGATTAGCCGTCAGAAGATTCTGGCTTCCAGTCCTGTGCTGAAACCAATGGACTACATTTTTCTCTGTAGCCTGTGTTTTCACATCTAGAATGTCATTCTTTCAAGAAAGCTGCTCTTGGGTTGGTCCATAGATATTATCCTGGAATTCATGGAAGATGTGCAAATTGCTAGAGTTTAGTTCTGAGAAGGGCATTGCTTAGTAAAGTGAATAAATCAACTGCAAGACTCTAACCATCCCTTGTATTTTCCATGAGAATTAAATAGAGAAAATGCCTTTGCAGACATTCCTGTTGTTGTTCTGAAAACTGAGCTGTCAGTATAAACAGACTATCAAGAGTCAGGCTTGTAAACATCTAATCATCTCATGACTCTATTCACCTTGTGGGATTCATTTACCCTTTATCACTTCTGATGAATGCAGTATCCTCTCTGTCTTCAACCTGTCTGTAGCTTACCACTGTCACTAACCTTTGTTCTGTTATCTTGCAGGAATATCTTCCAGGCTCCCGGAAATCATGTCAGTAGGATCACATTCATTCTCCCCAGGTGGTCCCAATGGGATTATTAGAAGTCAATCCTTCGCTGGCTTCAGCGGTCTTCAAGAAAGACGATCCAGGCAAGTACCATCTTTTGGGGGGGGGGTGAGGGGTGAGAGAGCTTTCAGCTCAAGAATTGAAACTCGCTTTGGAGACTGGAAGATTTTTGGTTTCTGTCCTCAGAGTTGAATCTGTGTGCTGTAGGTTAGACTGTCTCTGTTTATTCTCCCTGCAACTCTGCTGTCTTGCATGGAGAATAAAGAATGAAGACACCCTGTCTCTTCACTGCCGGGAATCTATTGGGCTTTGTTTTTATTAATATAGGGTTCATCCTCTGGCCTCATTCTTAGAGGAATTTTGCTGGTGTTTCAGAGTATAGATTTTAGTCTGTTAAATTATACAGTTATGTGATTTTTTTTCAACATGTAAAATGTCCAGAACTGTCTGAAACCCACCCCCTCCCCGGCATCAGAACCCCAGCCACAACTTCAAAATGCTGTCTACGCAGCTGTTTTTTAGAGCGATCGTGCAAGACCCACTAGCTTAGCTGAGTCTGTTGATCCAGGCTGAGAAGTTCGCTTCCAGGGACTGTGTAGACATAAGTTACTGTAAACTTGATTAAATCCTGCTTTTTTTTTTTTTAAGCTTTCAGTGAAGCAGGGAACAAGAAGAAATAAGAATTCAGTGGGAATTTTCAGAAGTCATATGAGAGAGTGTGATTCATATAAATATAGTAAAATCAATATTTATTTGCAATAGTGCCTAGAGGCTGTGGATGAAATAAGAGCACAGTTGTGCTGTGCATTGTACAAATATCAAGACAGCGCTGTTTAGTAGCATATAGGTTTTGTATTATTAAAAATTGCCTTTGTTCTCACCAACTAGGTGTAGCTCAGGCATTGCTGCAGGGGACTGGACTAGAAGACCTCTCGATGTCCCTTCCAGTCCCATGATTCTAGGATTCCCTAGCATTGCTGGTTGGGACAGACCCAGTATCAGATGTATAGAGCTGTCTGCCATGAGAAAGCCTCAGGCATAAACTATTGTTTACCAGACAGGCATTCAAGTCTCAGCAACTGGAACATTAGATGCTGGTAGCCTGAGCACAAGACTGCTCAATACAGCTCAGACCTATTAACCTGTAAACAAACAGTCCTCCAACAGGCACTACTATAAGAAGTTTGCTTTCAGCCAAAAGAGATAATGTCAGGCAATAGTCCTTTGAGATCATTGTGATTTATAGTGTTTTCCTTTCATGTCCATTTTGCAGGTGTAACTCCTTTGTTGAAAATGCCTCTGCACCTAAGAAGCCCCAAGCAAAGGTGAAGAAAACGCATAATTTGGGGCATAAGAACAGCACCGCCTCCAAAGAGCCCCAGCCTCAAAGGATGGAAGAGGTCTACAGGGCCTTAAAGAACGGATTGGAGTAAGAGAATTTATCACTGGATGTCTGAAGTTTTCTTTACTACTTGAGAGTGGAAAGCAATGGGTCATGGGAGTGGGGAGCCTCAGTCATTGTAGGGTAAATCTGACTGCTGACTTCTGCTCTCCTGTGTTAAACCCACCTGTACACAGAAAGCAAAAACACACTGAGCGAAATCCTGACTCTTTAAAGTCAATGGCATAACTCCCATTGACTTCAATAGGGCCAAGATTTCACCTCTAGACTGTTGCTCCAAATTTGCCTCCCATCACATAGGAGAGTCACACCACACAATGTGATACAAGATAACATCACAAAACAGAATAATGCCTTTGTTAGATAGGTACAAGGACAGTGATTGGACAGAGGCAGCCCACAAACTAAACAGCAGCTTAGTTCTCACAAAACCCAGCTGTTAACTGTACTTGAAAGCATTAACCTGTTACTCAAGAGCTAAAGAAATGCTCCTATTGCTTGTTTAGTTGGTGTGGAGCATGAGGGTTGCACGTGCAAAGGACTAGGGAGATATGGAGAGTTTTTATGACAGTCAGATCACTATAAACATGTACTTGTTTAAGTCAGTATATGGTGAGAATAGCTATTTGTTACACAAATATTCCTTTCACAGAGGTCAGCAATCAGCACCCTATGTACTGAAATGTAGCAGAGTTCATGATTCCCTTTCTGGTTTATCTTTACAGTGAGTATCTGGAAGTTCACCAGACAGAGCTGGATAAGTTAACTACTCAGTTAAAAGACATGAAAAGAAACTCACGGCTGGTATGTGTTATCCGACAATTCAGATGATAGTGTTCTATACTACTTGCACAGATCAAGGGTAACCTTTTCCAGGTATTGGAGGAAAAGGGGGGACAAGGGAGTTTTAAAGAAAAGCAGTTCTTCTAGGGTTGCCAACATTGTATTTCAAAAATAAGGGACTGTTTTTTTAGCACTCCAGCCCCACTCCTCCTCCCACTATCATCATCACCAATAATAATAATAAACAGTACTCGCCTACATTTAGCAGGGGTATTTCTTGCTGGTTTTTGCAGCACTCAGCAACTCCTGAACTTGTTGTACAGAGATGAAAAAATAAGGGACATTCCTTGTACTAAGGGACTGTTGACAACGCTAGGTGAGCTCCCACCCAGGATCCTGTTTGATATTTCAGCTATTTAAACATAATAGGGCACTGGGGGAGTGTATCATTCAATGGAACGGTATGACACAGAAGCTAATCATCATCTCCCTTTCTTTATTGCAGGGGGTGCTGTATGACCTAGACAAGGTACGTTACCCTCAGGGGCAGTAGTGCTGCAAAGAAAACATTAAAAGTTGAGTGATATGTACCCAGACCTGGAGACAACTGGCACAAAGAGCTTCTCAGAGCCTGATTCTCTAATCAGACACCACCACTGAGGGGGAGAGGCAGGCAGGATTTGCCACTGACTTCAATGGGAAAAGGATCAAGTCCTGAGGGGTCAGAAACAATCCTCAGAGTGTTCAGCAAGAACCTGCTGAAGGCAGGTTACACACAGAATGGTAACCCCCAAAACAGACTCTAGAGAAACATATAAAGAAAGTCAGTAGAGAACTATCTCTGATAGCTACTGCCTTGGCACTTGCTCTGGAGTGTGGACGTACATCTGCCACCTCTTCATTTAGCAAGAGAGGGCCAAATTTACTGCTAGGGCACTTCAGTGGAGTTGTTCCCACTTATACCAGTGGGCCACCAAGTCTTCAGAGTATTTCTAGTCTGTACACTCACTACTGATCCTGCAAAAAGCAAAGGCCTTCAAGCTTTTGAGTAGAGCTGGTTGAAAAATGGCAGTTGTTCTTCTCAGGGAAATGTTTTAAAAACAAAACAAAACAAAAAAACAAACTTTAATGACAACGAAGGGGGAAAAATGTAAAAACCAAAACATTTTCAGTTTTCAAAGAACTTCTGGTAATACTTTGGCATTTTGAAAACCAAAAACTGATTGATGTAATATTTTATTTATTTATTTATTTATTTTACTGAAAACCAACACATTTTAAATGAACAATTTTCAGGGTTTTTTTTTATTGAAAAAATATTTTTAAATTAAAATTTGTCAAAAATTTGTATTTTGATCAGAGCCATTTTTGGACAAAATAGGTTGGGATGGAAAAAATTCAACCAGCTCTACTTTTGAGTGAAAGACTAATTACGTTAAGATAAAGCACCTGATCTGAGGTTCATGTACAAAAACCTCTTCAGAATGAAAGAGAGCTTCACAGTTTGGAAAAGAAAAGTTTCTTTGAAGCTCACAGTGGCTTGAGACAGGAAAACCAGCTAAAGAGAAGATTTCTCAAGGAATCTATATAAAAATACAATCATCTGAGCTATCGGGGGAAAAAAACTCTCATTCCTCTTTTATTTATTTATTTGCAGCAAATCAAAGCGATAGAAAGATATGTGAGAAGGCTGGAGTTCCACATTAGTATGGTAATTAACAATTCTATCATGTTTCTTCTATATCTGCTTTTATATTATTAAGAAAACCAACCATTGCCTAGTGCAGGGGTCGGCAACCGTTCTGAAGTGGTGTGCTGAGTCTTCATTTATTCACTCTAATTTAAGGTTTCACGTGCCAGTAATACATTTTAACATTTTTAAAAGGTCTCTTTCTATAAGTCTATAATATATAGCTAACCTATTGTTGTATCTAAAGTAAATAAGGTTTTTAAAATGTTTAAGAAGCTTCATTTAAAATTAAATTAAAATGCAGAGCCCCCCCTGGACCGGGCAGGGTGAGTGCCACTAAAAATCAGCTCGCGTGCCATAGGTTGCCTACCCCTGGCCTAGTGTGAAAGCTTCCACACCAGAGGGACCCACTTCGCTGCCTCTCCCCGAGGCAGTTAAAGTACTGCAATGACTCCTGAGACAGAAACAAAGAGAGGATTTTAAAAAGCTTTAAAACCTCTGAGGTTCGCCAGTTCTACATGCACACCAAACACTCCCACTGACAATGGGTGCAAAGGAAATGCAGCGTCAGGCCCTTGATGGGTAAGCGAAGATCTCATCATACATTTACTTTAAAGATACAGGCAAAGGCACACTTGCACCTGCAAGAAGTTTAAGTTCACAATTTGATCTACTGCATGTTAAAAGTCTCACAGTCAGACTGCGAGTGTCCTCTGGATTTCAACACTAGTTTTTACACCATTTTATTCCACTGGGCCAAATTCTGCTCAGTTACACCAGTATATACTTGGAATAACTCCATCCAAGTCAGTCGGTATACTCTAGATTTACACCAGTCTGCCTTAGAATCAAACCCACAGTATATTTTCTTTTAGTCATTAATATATCTACTAATTAATATTTTTCCCAACTTGACAAAATGATGCATTTATATGATAGATGAAATGTCTACTGAGATTCATTTAAAAAACACACACGCTGCTTGTTATATACAAGAGTGACCAGGCATACAAAAAACACTTTAATTTCATTGTTCTCATAATCACGCAGCTCAAAGAAAACATTTAAGAAATACAGAAGGTTGAAATTTTCTGTCCAAACAATACACTTCCTTGCTGGTAACCTGCATGTCAAAATTATAGTCTAAAGCACATTTTCTATCTAAATCCTTCCTACGCCATCCACATCCTGCACAGAGCTACTGGCTTCTGTGTTTATGAAGAGATCTTAAACATAAAAGGAACTAATAAAAACAACTCTACTTGATCAGTATGTTAGTTCACTGCTCTATAACCCATGGTGACAAATAAATAGACATTGTGTGAGAGAGTTTTATAATAGCCGATCTTAGGCAGCTATAAATGGTTTTTAAAAGGATAGAAGCAGAAGAATCTTTCAGAACAAGGACAAACTATGCTGTCTTCTGATAACAGCAATGCCCTATCAATGCTAAGTACTGTTGTCATTCTATACAGGAAACAAAGCATGGAAAACAGGAAGTGTAGTAACAGGTGGCAAATCTTTACAGTGGCAGATGAATTCATCTTAACCAGGCTCACATGTGCAGACACAGAGTCTGAGCACAGGGGTAGGCCCCACCCCGATTACGGACATAAATAGCAAGTGACAAATATTTATAGCAGCTCTTTAGAATGGAGACTAGAGGGTTGCTAGCTGGAAAGATTAGGTGTAGAGGGCTTGCATCTCAGATAGGCTTGGTTTGTAATTCTGAAGTGTTAATAAAGTTACCTTTTCTTCCATTAATCTTTGTTGAAGTATTCCATTTGTAAACTGCCTTCTGTTTTAGTTACAGGTCCCTCAGATAAATTAAATCTGCCATTATGAACCCAAATCAGCCTTGTTAGCCTGATTTTTACACTTCAGTTTTTGAAACTGTGATGGAGGGGGCTCAGAGGGGGTATACTCAATCACACTTCTTGTTTCCCATTAAATTGGGAAATAGGCAACAGCATTTTTGTTAGAGATAGAGCTGAATGGGAAATTTTGATTTAGGATCTGAACATTCCTAAAGTTTGGGGATCCAGGTTTTGGTTCAGGTTAATTTCTAATGTAGATAAAATAAAATCATGGTGGCAGGTAGTATATGAAGTCAAGTTAACACAAGTTTTGATAGAGGCAAGTTCTGCTGTGAAAGATCCATGACTGAGCAGCGTTAGGATGCAGTGCATGATCCGCTAGAAAAAAAGTGGAATATATAAAAACTGAATCTTGTCCACTGTTAGCAGGAACAGTGGAAAGAACTAATGTGACAACCTCCTTGTACTTTTAGTTTCACAGGAAAAAAAATCCAACTCTTAAAATAACTTCGTTTTACTAATGAAACGATTAGATTCCGCTCCTGCAGCTGGCTGCTGAATCTGAACAAGTGGAAATCCCACTGCTGCAAGCCCCCAGCAAATAACTCGGCTATAATAAGTGTGCACATGAAGGATAAGGTTTTAAAAGAAAAGCACAGTTGGGGCGTTGGATAAGCTTATGGAATTATTAATAGCATATGGAGCTTTTTTCTTCTAAAGTTATGATCTAAACCTGGCCCACATTCCTAGATAACTAGGACCAAACTTTCCAAAAGTGATTAGGGAGTTTTGGGTGCCCAATGTGAGACATTTTCAAGGGGCCTGATTTTCAGAGTTACTTTTGAAAAACTTAGCCCAAGTTGTTACTATCTAATGGATATTCAGTCCCTCTAATGTCTATATGAAATGAGTTAAAGGCCTCTGTCACAGTTTTAGGGTAACTGAACCTGTATCCTCCTCACCCCTGTGGCCCACTCCAAGAGTTTTAAGGCTGCACAGCCCCCTTACACTCGGATATCCCCAGCAAGCCAGTCTGTCTAAAGGCCAGTGCCTGAGCTTTGCTTTCTCCTCAAGGGCTATTGCCAGCAGTTACAGGTTACCACACAGCTTTTTCTCAGCAAGCACCTTTATTGCTTTAAGGTAAAAGCATTACACATAAAAGTATTAATAAATAAAAGCTCCTGCATGCATGCTAAAAGCTTATCCGAGGTCAACCGTCAGTCTTTTAGAGCCCTAGTAGGTCAAAGTCCTCCCAACCCTTCTGCAAGGGTTGGTCCTGCCTGGACAGAAGGTCCTGTCCGTTTGCTGGATCAGAAAGAAGGCCCTGAGTCAGTTCAAGCTCATCCTTTTATACCAAAAGCCTTTCCTTTGTCTCTTAGTCTCTGGAAAACCCAGCTTGAATCAGTATATACAGATAACAGCAGGGGGTGGTACCTCTCTAGAGGTCTTTGGTTTCAGTGATTCACTTTAACCACCTCTCACTGTTTTTAGTCACTGGAGGAGCTGTCGTAACCTTCCCCTGTGGAGCAGAACATAATCAATCATACATAAACCATTCATCGCTGTCATGCAATATTGTCCCCAAAAATATTGCATGCAATTGCAATATCTGTCACAGACTACATCCAGGTCTTGGCGTTCACACTGCAGGACTCACTGCTGACACTACCTGGCATCAGCATAGTGGCCAAGGCTCTATTTGGAAACTCAGCTACTTTCCCACTGCTAGAAAGAATTCCTCCACAACAGGGCAGTGGTATGTTGGGAGGAAGCTTTCACTGCCACTATTGTGCTGTCCTTGGTTTTGAGACCAAACAGAGGACATTACTACTCCCCAGGGCTGTCAAATCCAAGCTCTTTTATAAGCTTGAAAGTGATTTTTTTTAAAGAGATTTAGAGAGTTCTACAAAACCCAGATAAAAATGGAAAACAGTAGCTGGAGGTCTGCAGAACTAAAGTACAAATTGCTGAGTCTCTGTTGTCTTGATGAAGTTTTACAGCAGAGGATGTTTTTCCATATTGCATCCTTTTTAAATGTAATGTGATGGCATCAAAACTACAGTTGTTTATCCGCTGGTGTATCTAAAAAAAGATTTCAGAATTGTTCAGTTCTATTTCCTTTTAATGGAACCTATTTTATGATTCCTTTGGGTTTCTTTATTGTAATGTGCTTTCATTGTTCCTGCTAGGTGGATGAGCTGTATGAAGCCTATTGTATCCAAAGACGTCTTTGTGATGGCGCCAGCAAAATGAAGCAAGCATTTGCAATGTCACCTGCTAGCAAAGCAGCTCGAGAGAGTTTGTCTGAAATCAACAGAAGTTACAAGGAATACACAGAGGTATGTGCTGCTCTGTGTAGTTCAGTCCTGCACTGCTTGACATCAATGGGAGTGCTCCCATAGATTTCAATGGGAATTTTGTCTGAATAAAGACTGCAGGATCAGCCCCTACATCAATGCCGCTAATTACTTTTCACTTTTGAAATATTTGACTGATTAGAAATATTATGGGACTATTTTGTATTTACTTCCATGGGGCAGTAGGAGACCTGCAAATACAAGCTTGTCACTCTGTCAGAGATGGATGGAGAGGGCACAGTGACATCACATTGTAATACCACAATATCTCCATCTAAACATGCACCCTGGAGCCACTGTTCAGGAAAAGGCATAAGACTGTACTCCAAATAAACTCTTCCCAATTCTGCAGATTTCAGTACATTATGGTTTCCATTAGCCTAGAACCCATTTGTGTGAAGACATCTGATGCATCTTTTCTAATCTTACTCAATATTATCAAATCTACTTTATTAATGTATTATTGCATCATGATCTGGAAAAGCTATAGGAAGGTGCGACAACCACCACAGCTCCTAGGTAATAGGAATCTCCTTAAATACAGAGAATGCATTGGGAAGAGTCCAATGCCCCTTTTCTCATAGTGTGTTCCACATAGCTCAAAGCATAAAAACATGTTGAGATTCACTTTGGCACAAATCCTTGGCTGGAGGGAGGGGTGGGAAAATGTTCAGCTTACACCATGATGGCTGAGACTTCGTTCTGCCAATGCAAGGATTATAATGCAACAAAAGAACAACATTGGGCCAAATTCAGCCTTTGTGTAAACAGGCTTGGCTGACCTGAAGTCAATAGAGCTGCATCTGTCTGTTCCAGGCCTGACTTTGGCATATTGATTTTAATTTGAGACACTTATTTTTATCTACTGAACATTGTGGGATCTTTTCTTTCTAAACTATTTCTTTTTGTGTGTGTATTTAAAAAAAATGTGGGAGGTTGGTCTGATATCAATCTTCCGTTTTCCAACACAGAACATGTGTACCATTGAAGGAGAGCTGGAAAACCTACTGGGGGAGTTTTGCATCAAGATGAAAGGTAATTGCCCTCCCTCCCAACCCTTCTGCATGAACAGACTTGCCAGAGCTCTCTGTGTGTGTTCCTGAGAGCTCTAAGAGCAAAAGCTCATTTAGGTTTAATGTATGAGAGGTTTGTTTTTCCCATCACATCAATTGCTGAGCCTTCAGAATCCTGACTTACACCCACACCCAGCAGAATTGATCATACTAGTTTGATGCTCACATCTGTACAGTGAGCTTTTCAAAGACAATTCTTCTATTTTTGAAGGAGATGGGGTAATTAGACTGCATTGCTTTGGTTATCAAGATGACTGTGTGATGCGGTTTCTAAGGCAACTATCTTTTGCCTCTATTTCCTCTTATTCCTTCCATAAGTCTGCTAAGAAACTATGTCAGTGGCTGTGGATCAGAATTGTAAAATGTTTTCTTATTTTGATACCAAGTTTGAAAGTCATTTACCTTTGCAGAGATTGATTTGGGGGAGGGGGGTTGTTTTTGTTTTTTTGAGTAAAAATTAAAAATAGAGAGTAGGGGCACCTTACTTTTGAAAGACCCACCTAGCTCAAGGGTGTAATCTATGTTTCAGCCATAAGTCCTGTGTTTTTACCGTGGTCTGATTTCCTCCTACGAGATTAATGGTTCTGAAAACAATAGAAGCACTTTTGCACAGATACAACCTTTAACAGGTTCAGTGATTTAAGTCTTGTTTCAAGACTCAATGCTTGAAGTAAAAATTGGAAAAGAGCTTTTTAAAATTAAATTCTACTTGTCACTTTTTCTTCACTCGTGTCAAACATTAGCACTAAGATACTCAAGAAAACAAGATCTTTGTTTTGAAAAATTCATAAACTCCTTATGTATTTTCCTCACTTGATGTTCCTGTCCACACTAAGTGAAAAGACATTGCCAAAAATATCAATTGGAGTATCTTGAGCTTGCAGTACCTGTAAAAAGGCTTTGCCTTCCATTGCCACTCTCTCCCAGGCATTTTACAAAGATTGGTTGTATCAGTAGGTTGCAACATCTTAGACAAGATCTAGATTTAGCCAAGATCAAGCTGAATTGATTCAGCCTACAATAGTTTGCCCCCAGTGGAGATGGGAAGTGACAAGTGTTGCAATTGTACTCACTTAACCACTCCTAACTCCATCCAATGTCTCCCATTTAAAAGCCCCTGCTCGCAGCAATAGTGCTGGGCACTAGCGGAGAGGCAGTCTGGTGTTCCAGAATGCACTGATACAACCAAGGCTATAAGACATGCCATGAATGAAAAGCGTTGGTTCTGTAACAAATAAAACTGCTGTGTGTATACCCTAAACCAATTAAAAGAATGGATGATGCAAAAAGCTACTTCTAGGAGTCAGCATCCCTGCAAGACTGATGTGTGCATAATGAGATGTTTGTGACATCACTGTTGATTGCAGTAGAAATGATTATTGTCATAAATGGCATAACTTCAAAGACCTGACCCTGCATTTCTTGCACACCCTAAGCTTCCAGTGAAATCAATGGGATTTTATGGCAGCCTGATTTTTCATTCCATGCACATCAGTGAGGAATAAGCATCAGGAACAGATTACTTAAAAATCCTGATTACATGCAGAAACCCTTAACATAAAAGAATGGGAGAAGAGAAATGATAAATGATGGATCATGAGAATTTTCTCTGGGAAGTTCAATGCAGGTGATACAGCAACATTGTTGTAACCCTAGGATCCGAGGGTGGAGCTGAAATATACATTTCTGAAAAGCTTAAACATCCCCAGTCATTTCAGTGCAAATCACTTTTATTTTATTAATGCATGACACAACAATGAAGTAACACCGTCTCCTCCACTTGCACTGAATGAACAATAATGTCAGAAGGTAAAGAGACTTAGCTCTATTTTCATAACATACAATGTTAAAAAAAATCATGATCATTTTACGAAGTAAGGACAATGGCCGTGCCAGCCTTCCATTCAGGATTAACTCCCCCATCGAAAGGAGGGGTACTAAACATCACCACATGTGTGCCATGGAGTGCCACCCATCTCCAGTACTCTAGGTGCTGTCACAGCCCTAAGTGCTGGGGGATGGCACACAATCAACTAAACTAGCCTCCCCGTATTCCTCTCCCAGCCTCTATGGAAATATACTTTGATCAAGCTGTAGCCTTTTGAACAACAACAGAGGAGAGGCATGGCCCTTCCAGGTTAGCCTAGTAATACCAAGAGCTACAGTACTTTCATACTGCTTTTCAGACTTGCTATCCCTATCACTCCCTTCTGTGTCCCTTCACTCAAACAAATGCTGTAGGCCAATCCCCGATCAAAGACGAAGCTGGAGCTGCAGTTTTAAACCACCCTCTCCCCCCCCCTTTCTATTGGGCTGAAGAAAATGTTTTTATTTGCATCAGATATGTTCAGTGATGCTGCCCAGCAGAGACCAAGTTAGCTGATACAAGCATGGGAGCAGCAGCAGCATAGTGCTAGTAAATGTAAATTATTTATAAACAATAAATAAATTAGAAAGTGGGAGGCAATAGGAGCCCTGACAGAGGGCTGCTTTGTTCTTCTGCTCCCAGTGTTCAGGGGAGAGTAGAGGATATGCTGTGTTCTGTTCAAAGAACCCACTAAAGAAGTGAAAGGAAAAAGTCTGGGTCCAGATTCTTAATGCAATGACCAACTATAGATCAACCAGTAATAAAAGAATTGGGTTTACCTGCAGTAGGTTGGATCTAAACACCTCTTGTTTTTTAAAAAGAGGGTTTGTTTTGTGGGTACGGCAGCGAAGACTGGAACTCTAGAGTCTTGAGTTTGATTCCCTGTTCTGCCACAGATTTCCTGTGGGACTTTGTGTTAGTCACATAGGCACAGATCCTCAAAGGTATTTAGGCACTTCACTCCCTTTGAAATCCATGGGAGTGAGGTAACTAATACCTTTGAGGTATTAGTTTCTCTGTGCTGCAGTTCCCCATCTGTAGAACAGGGATAATGCTTCCCTACCTAACCAAGATGATAAGAGGATACATTAATTTGTAAGCTACTCAGATGCTATAGTGATTGGGCCCATATAAGAATTGTTTAGGGTGATATAAAGAGGTGTAATTAGGAGTACTGAGATGAAATAAAGTTGAAGCCCTTTTTACGCCAAATATCAGCAATAGCTTCCCAATAAGGAGATAAGAGAGTCTGCAGGAAAGTGGAAGAAGTTCCCTCATGTGAGACAATTTAAATTAGGCATGTGAAAAAATAGCAGATGTGTCCGGTAGCTGTAGGGAACAGTCTTGCATGGGCAGGGAGAGGGACATAATTGGTGTGTGTAGCTCGACCTCCTATGCATTTATGAAGAGAAGGTATCTTAAAAATAGGAACAGGAGTACTTGTGGCACCTTAGAGACTAACAAATGTATTAGAGCATAAGCTTTCGTGGACTACAGCCCACTTCTTCATAGGGTGACCAGACAGCAAATGTGAAAAATCGGGACGGGGGTGGGGGGGTAATAGGAGCCTGTATAAGAAAAAGACCCAAAAATTGGGACTGTCCCTATAAAATCGGGACATCTGGTCACCCTACTTAAAAGAATCCTGCTCTTTATAATTTGTATCTCAGTTTGGTAACTGTTTGCAAGTAAATGTAATGCAGTTATCAGTGACGCCAACTCTTATGAGCCTCATGATAATATCAGATATTATTCTTAAAGCCCCAGCTTCTGAAGTCATATGGTTACATGGGAATCTCCACTTTTTTTTTAAATACAAAGCTTTCAGCCCTCATGCTTACAGAAGAAAACTTGAACCTTGAAGGCTCTGCAAAAGGCAAATAAGAACCCCCCAGATTGGTTACAAATAATTAATCTCATTATTTGTTTGAGGCCTGACTCATGGTTTTTGAGCAGTTGTTGGGCTGGCAGTACTGGCATTCTCTGGATTTTTATATCAAATGGCAAATACTTCTTAAATTTAGGAAGAGCTCTTACTGAAACAGTAAATTAGGCTTGTGAAGGATTGCTGCCACCTACAGACAAGACTTGAGAATAGAACACGGTATTATTGGAAGCCTGAAAGACACCAGGTTTATGTACTTGGTGACCACTTCACTAACTGCCTCAAAGCCAAGTTCTCTCCGTACAAACTAAGGTTGGATTCTGCTCTCAATTACATTAATGGAACTTAATTGTTGTCAGAGAAGTGACATCAATATAAATGAGCAGTTTTGGTGTATAATCTTGGTTATGGATGAGTGTTCTGTGTGTGTGTGTGTGTGTGTGTGTATATAAAATACACCAGGCAACATTGCATATGGTATTGGAATCAATTTACTTGCAGATCTAAGTTTTCTTTGTGCAATTCAAAGTGTGTAGTCCTAATGCTCCACTGAATATTTGTATATTTATTAGAGATGTTGCAATTATGTGCGTGTCCAAGAGCAGAATTTGACCCAAAACATGGCATGGCACGTATCTCATGCCATTTATGTCAATATACGATGCTGCGTGTTGCTGAATGTGGTGACCTGTTTCAGTTTTATCAGGCGTTTATAATTAAATTCACCATCTGACTGTGTGGCATAACAAATATCACTGGGCAAAAAATAGAATGAAAAAATGCACTGTCATTTGCCTATTACCAGTTTGGATAGTGAATATACCAAACAAAAAGCAAACTAGCAGACAGCAAGTTATCCAAGATCTCTCTAGCATGATTGTTGTCTACTTGCATTACATTCAAATCGTTTTGTTCATTTCACATAATCACCATTTATAATAAACCATGACACAGAGATCATGAAAAAAGAAAGAAGTTGTAAGTGTAAGCTTATGTCATGTCTCCTTTAAAGCTGTTTGGTTCTTGATGCGGTTTCCATTTCTTGGGGCTGTAGTAGTGGCTAAGAAATGCATTTCCAATCCACCAGAAGAAACTTGAGATTTGGGGCTTGTCTTAGTAACTGATTTGTAGCCCTGTACTGAAGAATTTGAGGGGCTAGTAGGAAGTTTTCATAGCTAAAATCCAGCCAGGAGCATAAATCAGACATTCAAACACCAAACAAATCAAATCCGTGATTGGGTTACTCTCTCAGCTACCAATGCATCCTACTCTCATGTTGCCCAGCAACAAAAAATGAACCCGACAGTTTCTCTGCCATTTGTGGGATCTTTATAGAAACCAGAGAGGCAGCCTGAATCTCAAACAGTAAGAAATACTGGTGGGTTCAATTTGCTCAGAAAGGATGTACAAAGTGCTGATGCATATGGCATGACTGCACTGATGCCATAAAAGGAGTGGTAGGGTTTTGATCAGGTCTTAAGCATTCAGTTTATACAAGTAAAGGGAGCTAGAAAGGGAAGAAGGTGTTAAATAAAGAGTGTCTTCTGAAAATGATCTCAAATGTCATTTGCTCTTAGGTCTGGCTGGTTTTGCTCGTCTTTGTCCTGGAGATCAATATGAGGTAAGTATCATGTCAGTTCCTTTAGTGTAAAATGGGGGGGTGGAATTTCCATCACTTTGTACATGATCCTGAAAGTAACTTATTGTGGTGACACCTCTGGAAAGAGCTGCTTTCCCCTCATGTATATAGCAAGAAAGGCCCCACTGTTGTCTTTATGACTGAATGTGTCAACAGTGAAGACTTCAAGATCAGACCCAAAGTACTGGATGATGGCTATTAAGATAACAATAGATCTGTCTTTAGCTTTGTTTTGGAAAGAAATCATGTCTCACAATACTTTATTTTTGGCATAAGTCTCCAATTCCTCTAGGCAGAAGATGCCTCATTTATCCAGTCAGTGCAGATTGAATAGACCAAATCTATTGGAGCAACACTATGTCAATGGGACATTAATACCAGCGCAGAATATATATAGGAATGACAGAACAGGTTGTGCTGGTTGGGGAGTGGCACTATATGTGAAAGAAAGCATAGAGTCAAATCTAGTAAAAATCTTAAATGAATCAAACTGTATCACAGAATCCCTATGGATAGAAATTCCATGCTTGAATAATAAGAATATAGCAGTAGGAATATACTACCAACCACCTGACCAGGATGGTGATGGTGATTGTGAAATGCTCAGGTTGATTAGAGAGGCTATAAAAATAGAAAACTCAATAATGGGGATTTCAACTCCCCCATATTGACTGAGTACTTGTCAACTAGGACAGGATGCAGAAATAAAGTTTCTAGACACCATTAATGACTGCTTTTGGGAGACAGGATACTGGACTAGATGGCCCATTGAACTGACTCAGTATGGCCATTCTTATGTCAACTTTAATCAGATTCAGATCAAAACCAACCAGAACCTTTCAGAAGTTAGAAGTAGTTTGATAAAAGATTCCCCCCCCCCTTTTACCAAAACCCATTTATTAATCCACCAGTCACCATTTCTTATTTGCAGTGACAGGTCCTCCATAGGGGGCAGACAGCTCACTAGCTAGGGGCAGGTTCTCTCTATAGAAGACTGGCCAGGCAGCCTAATTCTTCCATACCAAGATCCTCCAGCTAGGGTGGCCTGCTGTTCTCCCTGCTTTAAAATATAGCATTAGGGGGCTTCACTTACATTTATGCCACAGAGTTCACAAAATCTTGGAGCATGCAGGATTCCTCTTTGTCTTCCCAAGAGAATCTGTCAGCCCCTAGAGAATCCTGGTGCCTGAAAACAGAGGTAGACAGCCAGCCCTGTGAGTCTCTCCCCTAGCTAAGGAGATAATAGAGCAGATAAGTGAAGCTGTGGTCTCTTGGCCAGAGGAGGTTGTGGGGGGAGGAGAGAACGGGACTCCCCATGCAACCTAAAGTAATTCGGACAAGCTTCTCACAAGCATATCAACTTGTGGTGTTTTTGCAAATCTGACCCCTGAATCTTTTTAGGTGTCTTTTGCAGTGATGCAATATTACTAATGACATCACCATCTCTTTTTTCTCAGCCCTAAGCTGCTGAGAGGGAAGGGATTTCTGGTATTAAGGGGTTGCCTTCCCTTTCTGCCCTGGGTTCTGGATCGGTAGGAGCAAGTATTTCTGCAAAACATCTAGTGCTATATGAGCAGGTTTACATTATGAAATGAAAGTGAAAACTCAGTGCAGTGTCCCTTCAGCATAGACTTTCCTCCATGTTTGGTGGAAAGCAGAGTTCAGCATTCATAGCATCTATTCTTCAGGTGTATTTCAGAAACTGCCCTTTTCCTCGTATCTTTGTCTGACATTTGTCTGCTGAGAACAGGTAGAGCTTGCATGCCAAGGAACTAAGAGGACTTTTCTTTCTCATAGATTTTCATGCGGTATGGTCGCCAGCGATGGAAATTGAAAGGCAAAATTGAAGTGAATGGCAAGCAAAGCTGGGATGGAGAAGAAATGGTTTTCCTCCCTCTTATTGTTGGGCTGATCTCTATTAAGGTAAACACCCCAATTTGTACTGTCTAGCCACCTGCTGCTAAAAGCTGTCCATAAAGCTGAAATAGAATATGAGGCCCTGTTCCGAATACTACTGCTCTTTACCCTTGCAGGTCTCAGAAGTTAAAGGACTTGCTACTCACATTCTAGTGGGAAGTGTTACCTGTGAGACAAAGGACTTGTTTGCAGCTCGGCCTCAGGTGGTTGCTGTTGACATTAACGACCTTGGCACTATAAAGCTGAACCTTGAAATTACCTGGTAGTAAGTAGAACCGCTTTGCTTTTCAGTGGGTCAGCAGCGTCTCAAAGCCAAGTAGAATCTCATATCCTCTTGTTTCCCTGTTGAAGAGCATTGGTAGACAGTGATGACTCCCTGCTTTACCATAGACTTCCTGTGTGACCAGAGGCTAGCCACTAAAGGTACATCTACACTTAGGGCGGCATGTAGAGTATAGACACTGCACGCCCAGCTAACACAGGTGTAAACCAGCAATGTAGACAGTGAGGCACGACTTACTTGAGTAGAATAATGTAGACTGCCCTACATGCCTGTATCTTAGGGTGTGTACCCTACATGGCTCTCTACCAGGGTTGCCAAACCTCCAGGAATACGTCCAACCAAAATTGGCAACCCTACTCTCTACAGGCCCTGGCAGTGCCTCCCATGTCTACACTGCTGTTTTTAGCAGCGTAGTGTCCTGTTGCCGCCGCACTGCCAGAGCCTTTTCCTGTCATTTATAGCTACACACCACAGTGACGAGTGTGGACACAGCTTGTCTCATTGCAGTGTGTAGCTGCACATACTCTACATATCGTTTCAAGTGTATACAAGGTCTTAGTGTGCTTGTTCAGTTCTCTACCTGTACAAAGGGTAGAATAGCACTTCTCCACTTCACAGAGGTGTTATGGGGATAAATACATTAAAGACTGGGGCACTCAAATGCTACACTCAAATGATGAGGGGCACATAGGTGCCATACAGATGTTGCCTCAAATTCAAACATCTGAGGGCAAAATTGGGCCCTTATTAGATGCATGAAAAATCTCAGTTACACTGGTGCAAATTTTAGTGGAGATTTACACTAGCATAATAACCAAGAACAGCATTTGGCCCAGAGCATTAAAAACTAGCCTTCACATGCTTGACACATTGCTTCAGGGTAGTGGGAAATCCCTTGACATGCTCACCCCACAGCAATAAGCACAGGATGATAGAGCAAGGATTCAAAGCAAGATTTTATGGCATTTTAAAGTTGTATCTACCCGTCGTCTCTAAACAAACTCTGAAGTATTTAATATTTACATTTGTGTATGTTATATCTTACAATGCAATAAAGCATTAACCCAATCATGACAACTGCTGTATTCCATTGTGATGTAACAGCTCTATTAATAGTAGAGCACCTTACTCCTAATTATTTTTGATACCTGTCATCTCAAATGCAAGAAAATTCTTCATGCTGTAGGAGTCACATCGTATTAGCATACATAAAATTATTCCTGGCAGTGGACTGCTTTTTATCCTAAAGGAGAATTGCACTTCTAAGCTAACTGTCTAATGAACAAGATTTTCTTTAATGTTTAACTTAAAAACTGAATTCTCCTTTTTAGATTTGCTGCTAAAATCCATTACTTTTCTTTTGTGTCAGGTGCAGATTATTCTAATGAACTAAATTAATAATAAAAAAAGAAACAATTTCCCTGTAATTGTGATGCAGTCTCATTCTGCCTAAGGTGGTGATTATTTAATTAAATTAATTAATTTATTTAATTTATTGCAGCCCATTTGATGTTGAGGACTTGACCCCATCCACAGGCAATGCGAACAAGACATCTGCTCTTCAAAGAAGAATGTCCACGTATAGCCAAGGGACTCCAGAAACTCCTACCTTCAAGGATCACTCATTCTTTGTAAGTTAAGTTTGGCCTCACATAATTATGTAAAGAGATCCTCACTGCATCATCAAAATAGTAAATGCTTAATTGCTTTAAAATGCATTTTTCCCAGCTTCATCATTATGCCATGTTAAACTCTATGAAAAGCAACACACTTCCAGCTGTTCAGCCTAGAAGTAAAGCATGTTTAGGTTCCTGTAACCCTAAATATAATATGGTCAGTTATTGGATCCCCATTCTTCTGCTTGTAATATTTGAGGCGACTTTATACAATGTATATCTATTCAGCGATAGCAGTTTAAAACAATTAGAATGATCCTAGTTTGTGGTTTAATCTAACTCAGGATGAAATTCACCCTTATGCAAAGAATCTGCACAAGGCCAAGGTGCCATTTAAGTCCCACTTAAACCATATTTTGATGGGTTAAGTAGGATTGAAGTAATGCATTGGCCTTGCACTGAGGTGAATTTCACCCTCAATTAATATCTTTAAAGCTGGCCATTTAAGTGCTGTAACTATGATGCATTCAACTAACTCCCCCTTTTGCTTTAACTGCTGAAGAAATGGCTACATCCTCCACAAGGCAGGCCGCAGTTGTCAGTTTTAGATGCTCTGCAAGACACTTTCTTTGACAGGCTGCAGCGCAGTCGCTCTTTCAGTGACCTGCCATCTCTCAGGCTGAGGCCTAAAGCAGGGCTAGAGCAATATGTGAGTTTTGCTGGGGGGTGTTTGTGCGGGTGTGTGTAATGAATGATTGTTTCAGTGCTCACGTGGCTTTCTCATTTCCATGCATGCTCTGTTTGATCTTTAGCATCACAGATCATCTAGTTTGCTGACTGGTTGCAAGGGAGTGACTAGGAGTATAAGCCCAATGCTGCTCTCAGGAAAGCCAATAGCAAAATTCCCATTGACTTCAATAGGGTCAGGATCACAGCCCCTATCTAGGGATGGGGCAGAGATTCAGCTACAAATGAGAGTCAGACAACCCGTCTTTAGGGATGCAAAGTTAGATTGGTCGAGGCTCTATATTTTTCTTGTAATCTGACTTCCAGCACTGAAAGAACGCTTAAAAATGTATATATATTGGAAAAAAGCAAAAAAAACAAAACAAAACAAAAACAAAAACAGAACTTAATATATTTAGACTTAGAATGAAAGATACAAAGAGCTCTGGGCAAAAGTTCAGTAGAACTTTGGATGCTTTAATCTTATAAACTAAGATGGTGTATAAATGCTTGCAGCTTTCTTCAGCAAATTGTCAGCAAAATATTTGTCATTTTTCATCTGTGTTGTGTTCAGATGTGAGTTGTGAGCTAGTTTGCCGTGCAATTCAAAACTTTCTAGGGTAAGGACTATGTTAAATGACAAGCGTTATACTGTAGGCTTTCAATGTCATTCTGAAGAGATTCTTATACTTCCCATTTTGCTGTGATTTTTTTTTATCCTTTTAATGTTCTGCATTTCATTTCCCACTATCTACTTTAAAGACTGGTTAAAATAACAGAAATATTTGTTCTACACTTCCAGGATGGCTCAAACCTATTTATAGTGAAGAAGATGATAGAGATTTATTTTTTAAGGCCACATTATTCATACTAACGGAGAGTTAAATGTGAGATATTCATACATTTTGCTCCTTTTTACTGATGCCTTGTCTAACCAAAGGCTATTTTTCACTTAAAAAAAAATGCATTCTGGTGAAATTCTCAAGTCAGATCTGTATGGCAAGTTTTGGCTCCTAAATTTTGCTCCCCTACAATGTATAAAACTCCCATGGAGGTCAGTGAGAGATGTGCACATGTGTAAAATGTGGAGAGCGGAGATCCACTGCATAGACCTAAATGCCGAAAATTCTGTCCGTCTATATACACTACTGTCTTCTACCTGTCAGTTTGTCAGAGAACTGGTGGAAACAGCATCATGCAAATTCTCTGTTATCATTGATCTTCTATGTCAGTGGTCTCCAACCTTTTTATGCACAAGAGCACTTTTTAAATGGGAGCTGCAGGGACGGTGCTGGGGGCGGGGGCAGCGCATGGAGCTGCCTCCCCCTCCCTCCCAGGGGCTGCAGGGCCGTGCCAGCAGCCAGCCACTTCCGGGAGCAACATGGGACCACGGCAGGCAGGCAGGCAGCCTGTCTGAGCCCCGCTGCTTCGCTGGACTTTTAGCAGCCCAGAGATCGCGATCAACTGGCAGAGGCTCCAGAGGCGATCGATGCATTGGTGACCACTGTTCTGTGTGACCGATGTTCACCAGTTACTCTTTGTATAACAAATACATTAAATTTTTTGTCAAAAGTATTGCATGAGTGAGATTGTGTCCCTGAAAATCATGTAATATTAAACGTTAACATGAGCTAGTTAAACAGTTTTGTGATTCTAGGATATTTTTTATTGCTTTAGAAATGGAAAAAACAAAACAGGAAGTCTGAGCAATCATTAAACGAGTACAGACCTGCACAAAAGAACTGTAACAATACAACAATGAACAGAGCTTTTCTATGTGAAGTAGTAAACTGAATAATGCAAATTAAATTGCTGTCTGAGAATTAATCCAATTATACCTGTTCAGATCTTACTGTTGTGTCACGCTCAATAGTGGGCTCAGTTTAGTTTGCTAACAGAAAAGATACTGACCAAGTTTCCCAGACCTGATGTAGCAGGTAGCACTCCCACTGAAATGCGCAGGAGATGTGCCAGCTTATGCCAGGGCTGAATTTGTGTGTCTCTTTCTCTTTTACACAGACGTGTATCGTGTGTGATGCATACCTTGTGTTTTATTTTTACAAGTTTACATTATCTTTGCAGTCCAATTCGCCAGACGACATCTTTGAAAATGGTATGGCAGGCACGGAGAAAAGACCAATATCTTTCAGCTTTGGCGATATACCCAATGGAGATTGTGCTCCCCCAGCCATCACTGTAGATTCTGCCTCTGCCCTTGACCCTTCCAGTCCTGAAATTACTGTCACACCTCCAGAGCACAAATCCTCAAAAAACCCAACGATGGACAGTTCCAGCACACACTCGTCCCTGGACTCTACACCTGAGTCAAAAGACTTGAAGTCACAGCCAGAGCATACACCAGTACATGAGAACAAGAAAAGTTCCAGAGTAGCCTCTGAAGTTCACCAAAAGCCTCCAGGCCCTGGGAGTGATAACCTGTTTATAGATTCTAGTGTCCCAGTGTCACTTCTACAGGAGACAGATGACGTGTCAGAGTTGAAACCGGTGGAACTGGACACCTATGAAGGCAACATTACCAAACAGCTGGTAAAAAGGCTCACCTCCGCAGAGGCTCCAATGACACCTGAAAGGCTGCAGTGTGAGGGATCAATAAGTGGAGAATCAGAAGGATACAAGTCTTATTTAGATGGAAGCATAGAAGATGCCTTTCAGGGGCTTCTCCTAGCCCTTGAGCCACATAAGGAGCAGTATAAAGAATTTCAGGACCTGGACCAACAGGTGATGCATCTGGACGATATTCTCAAAGTAAGTATATTTTCAGAATACATCAACATAAAGAAAATCTGAATGAGTATGAGCGGCCCGATTAATTGTAAACAGCAAAGTACAATTTTTTCAGTCTGCTATCAAGAGCTCACTGGGAAAATACCTAAAACCAACTGATTCGCTCCAACCTTGATTGACCAACCATGTCTTTAGAGAGGCACATTTTAAAGCTTTGTTGTTTGCAGTTTGGTTACTATTCCCTTACGTTCTTGAGCAATTTGTATTTTAATTTAATTAGAAAGAAGCTGAAAAAGTAGTGGGGTACCATAATCAACAAATAATTGAATAAATTTCTCCCACTGCAGGAATTACTTAGTGAAACTTTGACCTGCGTTATGCAGGAGGTCAGATCACAGCAGTCCCTTCTATCCATAAAAATCTACAGGCCAGATCCTCAGCTGCAATAATTCAGAATGACTTCATTGACATCAATAGATCTCTGCCAGTTTATACCAGCTGAAGTTCTGGCCCTATAACTGGATGAGGGGAATTGTTCAAAAATGTCTAGGTGGCTTAGGAGCACAAGGTCTACTGAAAGTTACTGGGACTTGTGCTCTTAAATCATATAGGCTCTTTTGTAACTAACACCCCTAAGTATCTAAATCATAGAATCACAGAAGTGTAGGACTGGAAGGGACCTCGAGAGGTCTTCCGGTTCAGTCCTCTGCACTCAAGGCAGGACTAAGTAATGGTACAAATCCTGTAATTAGTCTAAGAATGAGACTGAAGCTAAATGGAAAAAGTATTTTACATATGTTACAGTACATAATGTCTTAACCTTAGATTTGTTTCACAGCTCTTCACTAATCACTGTGATGCACATTTTTCCCCACAAGAAGATATTCATGATTCTTTATCGTGAGGACAGAGTTAATTGGGAATAACTGCTTTCAAATGCTTCATATTCCTATGCTAGGTGGTCTGTTGGAATGATCTGAGTAGTGTAGAATTAACCACATAATTGAAGAAGAGCATAACTAAGGAAAGGAGGGAGAGGTTGTCCTTTTGCGTTACCATTTTAACATCTGTGTTTCCATTGGCATTTACAGCTACATGATACTTTTCCAAGTTAAGTGCTTTTCTGACAGCCCGTTCCTCCTGCTCTGACTCCCTGAACTAACTCCGAAGTGGATTTGTACATGAGAGACTACCAGTATCAGTTATTTTTGAACTTCCCAGCTGCCCTGCTGCTTGTGCAAATGAGGTCAGCTGTCAGAACAGTACTGAGGCACGGGAAAATACTCATTTTCTCTCTCAGTGAAGCATATCATACAAAGGAACAGAGGGGGGATGCATGTGCAGGTGGAATACTTGGACTCTTGAGACCACTGCTTCTTTGAGATCGCCATTCAACCTGTTAATTTGCTTGAGGATTGAGACTGGGGGTCACTAACCGAGTTGCTGGACTTCACGTTCAAAAGGTCAAGACAGAAGCTTGTTCTAGCTGAAGAAAGCTTCTCTTGACTATGGCAGCAGGAAGAGAAAATTGACAGTGCAGTTGCTACAGTTTTATTTTGTACAGAACAGGAAGCTGAGTTACTAGCCCATCAAACATGTAAACTGAATGAAAGGCTGGATGACACATACCTATCTCACAGGGGTGTTGTGAGGATTGTTTGTTTAATGCTTATACAGCCTTTGAAGGTGTAAGATGCTGTAAATGCTAAAGTATTAATATTATGTACAGATGGCATAGATGCAAAACTCCAAATCGTCCCAAGCTGTGGGAAAGTGTGGTTTTGGAATCAGATCTGAACTTCCCAGTTAGCTCATCACTCACTAATGGGCTAAACCAGAACTCTGAATCTTAATACCAACTTTTGGGAAGGTTCGGTTCTGGAACCATACTTTGTGTCTTCGGGCCGTCTCTGATGATGATGATGAGTATAGCTAAAACTGTAGAAATTGCTGTGTAAAACTGCTGGAGCTGATCCTAAGTCAAGTTACCAACTTACACTCTGATCTTGCAAGATGGTCCACACAAGCAAACATCTGTGCCCATGCAGAGCCCCACTGACTTCAGCGTGGCTGCACACAGAACACAAGGTCTGCCTGCATGGATCACTTTGCAGGATTGGGGTCTTAGATATTTCTTACAGAGGCCATGAAGCTTTACTTACACTTTCTCCCTGTTGATCTGAGTTTCTCACTCAGTTCTTCCCTAGTGATGAAAAAAAGGCATCTCCTCTGGTTGGAATTGTTACTTTCTGGGTTATAAAATTGCCTTTAGGGATCTCCTTGATTATGTTTATCATTAAAAAGCACTGTCTCCTGGGGTGTCCAGTACCACGATATCTGATAGACTAATGTCTTGCTTTCCTCCTGCTTCCAGTCCTGTACAGTAATCTGGAGAGATGGGACCAAATTCATACCAGATTTAAACTCCATTGGAGTTATCCCAGGAATGAATTTGGCCCAGTACAGCTTAAATGAATGCATGTAATTAAGCTTCTGTACCTAAAATTACTGCTATGGAATGTGCCTTACGTTTTCAGCCTCCCACATGTTAATTAACACACTGTCCTCTTTAAGGCCATCGAAGATCTTTTCACTTGACCTTAAGTGAAATGTAGGACAGAGTTGAACCCCTGACATGTTTTCTCTTTGGAGCTTTTTCAGTGTGTAGACTTTGACTGTATTTCTTATGAAGGTTTGAAATTAATATAATCCAATAAAATTAAGTTTTAAAGCATATAAAAAGTTGTAAACTTCAATGTTATCCTTTTTTCAGTAGTTACATATATTTTTGGTGTTCATTGGTTTGTTCTGCCTTTGCAGTGCAAGCCAGCAGTAAACCGAAGCAGGTCCTCCAGTGTCAGTCTAACAGTTGAAAGTGCTTTAGAAAGCTTTGATTTCCTGAACACCTCTGACTTTGATGATGAGGATGGTGGAAGTGATGAGGTTTGTAATGGTGGAGGAGGTGCTGACTCAGTATTTTCAGACACTGAGACTGAGAAGACTAGGTAAGTCAATAGTGACAGCCAGCTTGCGGTTCTCAAGGCAAGCTGCTACACTAGTTCTTTGTCACTAACAGAGGATCCTGGTGCACACATTATTCAAGGAAGATGAAACTAGATAATTGAGGTTATAAATCAAGAGGTTTTCTAGTGGTTAACAAACCTGAAACACTCCAAATGCAGGTATCAATTTTTCTTGTTCAAACAGCTATACTCTGTCCCCCAAAAGGGAAGTGTAATAAATTGGCACACTAGAGATCAATATCTGCAGAGCTTCTTCCTTGATATAGGTTTGGACCTGGTTTTCCTTGGTTTGGATTTAGTAACTAATTCCTCTCTGTTTTTCCTCCCACCCCTGTCTTTTCTCTCTAGCCAAATGAGTCTTTGCAGTGGATTAGGATTGTCAGTAACAGTAACACAGGGCCAGATTTAAACAGAATGATGTAGGTTTCCTTTGGAATGCAAGAGTGATGACTGGTACTTGTTCATGGCCCTGCATGTTACATGCCCTCATTCCACCACTGTCTTTGTGAGAGAAGTAGTTGTGTGTTTGTTATGTGCTGTCATGTCACCTTGTGAAGCTGACTGTGTTTTATCATTAGATCCTCATATATACATTTGTAACCTGAGGAGAACTAAAACATGACCCAAAAAGTCTACACACTGCAACTATGACTGCAAAAGGAGCAAAGAACACACAGCGGTCTCCTAAAAGGGAAGCTACATTTCCCACTGCCCATCATAGCACTTGTAAGGGATTTTCCAGCACAACAAGCAATCACCATTCTGCCATGGGGGGGTGGGAGGGGGAGAAGAGAAGAACCACCTCATTGCATACTTCCCCCCCACCCCACCCCCAAAAAAACCTTGGACTTAACGTGGAAATAAATTATATGTTACGTTGCTTGCTAACCTAGGCATTATTAAATTCATCCTGCTCCTGCTGATGTGAATGACAAAACTGCCTGCAGAGTCAGTGTATATGTATGTACTATGGTGCACCATGTATAAGCACCATAGCAATGAGTTAAGTGAATTCGCTTAAAATGAAAAGGTTTCCTTTTTTTCCTAAAGATGACTTTGAAAGCAGCCTCAGTTCCTACTCTGATTTTAGGTGAATTTGAATGCATAGTTTAGAGCATCCACCTAAAGCAGTGCAGGTGCTGTGATTTTTAAAACATGTAAATGTGTGTTTGCATCTTGGAAATCAGAATCGAGCCCTACTTTCAAACCATGAGAGAACATTGGTGCAACAACAAGAAAATGGAAATGATTTAAACACAGTGAGAATAAGTATTATCATGTGGAAAAAATATGGTGAACTGTTTGTTATACACACTATGCCTAAAACAGCAGATGGAACCCTCATGTCTCTTATTCCAGCCATGTTTTCTTTTACTGACAATTAAATCTGGTGCCTGCAAAACACTGATAAATTAGTTCTTAATGGTTTAATTTTTGAGAAACCACAAATCAATAATGCAGTTTAATCCAGAACAATTTGGTAACTAATAATGTCAACAGATGAAAAAATAACAAGTGCTAACAAGGTCAAATTTCAAAGACTTCTTGGTGAGTTCTCCACAAAAGAGGCATTGTTCTGGAGAAACAAGTAGACCACTGTGGAAGCAATTTGTCTTTTAAATGTGTACAATCATTCCACATTCATTACACAATGTTACTGCCAAGTTAAGATATGATGTATTCATTAAAAGGTTTCTGGCTTATCAAGGGCTCTTTGGTTACAGATCACTGCTTGCAGCAATTCTTCTTGTGCCTGATGTTAGTCATTTTGAGTTAACGTGCTCTGTCTGCATGAGAAGAAAATCGACTCCTTACCCAACCTCCTGCATTAACAGTTACAGGTCAGATCACCCAGAAGCCAGAGGGCACCTCAGTGAAGCTTTGACTGAAGACACAGGAGTTGGGACCAGTGTAGCTGGAAGTCCTCTCCCACTGACCACAGGGAATGAGAGTCTTGATATCACAATAGTTAAGCATTTGCAGTACTGTACACAGCTCATTCAGGTACAACTGCTCTTTTTGGTTATATTTTTATAATATTCCTAGAGGCATTTGTGTGCCAGCTACTTAGGGTTTAAATTGGCTGGTGAATTTAGTACTGGGTGAAAGCAAGGCAGGAGTACTGCTAGATTGAGCCACTTGAGGGGCTGGCTGACACCAAGAAAGTTTCTGCAAATGTAGCTCTTCAAATGTGCCTCAGTCGTGACCTGCCAGACCTCTGTTATGCCAGTCCTGGCCCTCTTCTGAGCTGAGCGCAAGACTTGCAACTATAGGGCAGTTGTGATGTGAACTACTGGTGTGCACTACAGAAAGTGCAGACCACTCAATTCACTTTCCCGTTGGACCCAAATCCTGGCACTGATCCTGCCACTGACTTATACTCCACACCCAAGAGCAGCTGCAGGTCAGCCTTGTTATGTGACTGAAGATTTCCAGAGGTGACATGGAAGCCCATTCATTCATTGTTAACTCTAGCTAAACCCCAGGCCACTGGAAGTCAACCAAGATGTGTGTATTATTTAAAAGCAAAAGGTATTTTGGGTATAAAACCAAGATGATTCTTTAAATGCAGGGATTGTAAAATGCTACCTTTGCTTTGGACCCTATGTGCGAGCACAGTGGAATGTTGCACTGAAGTGCAGTCTCTGTGTGAACCAAGTCTGGATAGTTATACATTCCAGGAAGTTTTCCCTCCCTCACCAAAGTAAAAACTTGTCCCAGGATCTTCTGCTTCCTGAAGGGTGCCTCCTTTGGAGAACATCAGTGTTTTCCTATTGTATTGGAATACTGTATATTGGAGCCTCATTTACTGCATTAGGCTCTTCATTCCCACACAGACAGTTAACATCTACTTCCAGTGGCCACGGGCTCACTGCTAGAATGGAAATCAAGTCCTGCTTCTGTCATCTTGCTGATTTAGAGAGCTAAATCCCAGCCATGTAGAATAAGGAAGAGTATTGGTCTCAATACAGGAGAAACTGCATGAAATTCTATGGGCTGCACATGTTATGCAGGAGGTCGAATAGATGATCTAATGCTCTCCGTAGAGTTTAAGACTAGGGCAAGGAGTTAGGTGCCTAAAGCAGCACTTTGCTATTTAAATGAGTATTTAGGTATTTCAGTATAGGCATAAAAATTGGGCCCCTAAGAAACAGTGTGCAACAACTGCAAAATATACATGCACAGAAGCTTTAAGGAGATACTATGCAGTAGAACCTCAAGAGTTAAACACCAGAGTTTAAAAACTGACCAGACAACCACACACCTTATTTGGAACCGGAAGTACACAATCAGGCAGCAGCAGAGACAAAACAAAAACAAAAACAAAAACGCAAATGCAGTACACTGTGTTAAACGTAAACTATTAAAAAAAAGGAAATGAGTATTTTTCTTCTGCATAGTAAAGTTTCAAAGCTGCATTAAGTCAATATTCAGCTGTAAACTTCTGAAAGAACCATAATGTTTTGTTCAGTTATGAACAACCTCCATTCCTGAGGTGTTTAACTCAGAGGTTCTACAGTACAACCAGTTTCTAACTGCAGTTCTTACAGATTAAAAATATCTGTATTCAGATCAGACTATTTCAGCAAGATGAAACATCTTCAGGACTCTTAGTAGGGTTCAGTAATTTTTATTTTTTTTAATCCTTGTTTTATTAGCAAATTGTGTTCTCCGGTAAAACTCCATTTGTTGTAAGAAACCTCCTGGATAAACTGTCCAAGGAGATCGTAGTAGTGGAGAACCTTGCACAGATCAGCAGTGAGAACATGGGGAACATCATCTCTGTAACTGAAGGTAAGTAGCAGTATGGGGGTTTGCTCTTTGGAAAGGCTGGGCATATGAGTGTGTGTGTGTGTGTGTGTGTGTGTAAGTCCTCCTAAGCAGTGATTTGTCTGACTTTTAGTAAATTCCATTGCACTAAATGTTAAGACAGTTGCAAATGGACACTGACTGGTATCAGTCAACAGATGGTGGCAGGAGACCTCAGGCTGGGCTAAGGGTAGGATATCCAGAAAGGCAAGGGGAGAAGGGAGAGATGCTCATTATTTCTAATGTGCCTCCTTTCCTCTACCACACACAAAAAAGCAGATGGCTGTAATAGTAAAGGGTATTGCCAAAGCAACTGGTGTGGCGTCTCCTCTGAGAAGCCAGATTCTTCCTCTACTTCTCCTTGTCCAGAATGCGGAAATTATCTGGGGGAGCTCTAGTTTACAGGATCAGAGGCATGACACAGTCTCTCAATAGTTTGTCTAGGAGACTACTTTTAATTATCATTATTGATTAACACTTAGCAATTCTGTAGCATCTTTAAAGAGTTTTACAAATATTATTAACTCTCACAAGCCCCGTGGACTAGGCAAATATTGTTAGCATTATTCTGCTGATCAAGAAACAGAGGCAAAGCACTTTTGCCCCAAAAGGAGAGTGTGCCAGAACCAGGTTTAGAATTCTGGAGTTTGTGGTTCCCAGTCCTGTGTTCACACTATTACCTCTTTGGTACTTAATGGTAATTAAATAACTATTTTCCAGTTCCCAATACTGGATCAAAAGCAATTTTGCTTTCAACATTTGGGAAGCCAAAACACCTTAAAAGCTCTAAGAGCTAGCACTTCCTGTGCATTGGGAAGTTGACTACTCAGCAGTGGGGTGGGAACAAGTATTTATCTACCCTTATGTTTCTGTTATACTAACACAGCAATCTGATCTCTGCGATTTTGTTTCACTTGTTTTGTTTTTCCCCCCAGCAATTCCAGAATTTCATAAAAAGCTATCACTGCTGTCTTTCTGGACTAAGTGCATGGGTCCCACAGGGGTGTATCATACCTCTGCAGACAAGATGATAAAGCAGCTGGATGTCACTTTTGCCACAGCTGTGAATGAAGAGTTCCCAGGACTTGCAGAAACAGGTAGATTCTTCAAAAAACAAAATTTCTACCCACAAGTCAAGGTGGATCTGTCTTGTAGTGGGCTTCTGAAAAACGCCAATATGCGGAGACCAAGTTTTGCTTAGCTTCAGTTACAACTTTTCAATCCCACAGAAGTCAACTGGGATGTGTTTCAAAAACCTTACCTGAGAGTAACTGATTTAAATGTTTTTGCCACAACTTATAGTCAGAAGATTTTGCCCAAAATCATAAACCCAAAGAAATTAACTGTTTTTAAAGTCCACATGATTATTAAAATAAAAAAGGATGACTAGATCTGATAATTTATTAGTTTAGTCAGATATTAGGGGGAAATTCTCTGTTTGCACTGCCCATGTCATTCTCTTGCCTGTTCTGCCTGCCAAATTCACACTGATGTCAATAGAAGCTTTGCGTATGAAGATAAAATAGCAAAAGATCCATGCTCCAGGCCAACTCCTACCCCTAGGCAATTTCATTGACTTCCGTGGTATTACAGAGGTGCAACTGGGCACAACATTTGGTCCTCTGTTTAATAATGCACTGTCAGGTGGAGAGAAAGGATGGTTAATGGACAGGGTGGTGCATTGACTTCAAGAGTTTCAATTGTTGGCACAGCCACAGACACCCTGTGTGATGTAGGGCAAGTCACAAACTGCTCAGTCCCCCTTCTGGAAGTTGGCAATAGTTCTTCCCTACCTCAACAGTTTCATCAGGATAGAATCTACTAATGATTGTGAGGAGCTCAGATATTACACAGATGAGGACCAGAGAGAGAGGACAATGTTGCCCTTAGTGAAGATTAGAAATACTGATGCTGGGATGTGTTCTTTTTTTTTTTTTTTTAAGTTCTACCTTTCTTTCATGTTTTAAAGTGTTGAACTGAGTTAATTGCAGTGTTTTCTCTGTCTAAAATTTTTTGCTCTTGTTAATACAATGTTTCTTTGTCTTTTCCTGCTGCACGTAGTATTCAGAATCCTGCTGTCTCAGATCCTCGACCGAACAGAACCAGTCCTCTCATCCAGTCTGTCCTCTGAAATCCTAACGGTTTTTCAGTATTACAATTATTTTGCCAGCAACGGCGTTAGCGACCTTGGAAGCTATTTGTTGCAACTTGCAAAAGAAGGTAGAGTGTTTAAGTTCTGGCTGGTAAAAGGGAAATGTATCAAGGTGCTTTTGAGCATCAGATAAAACAATTCAGCTCTTGGGCTGATTTTTCATTAACCAACAGGGAAAAGAGGGAAACAACTGCCTTGGGTGTTTGAATAGGATTGCAGTGGCACCTGTGTATACTGAAGAAAGGGGCGGGTATGTCCAACTGACACTCCCACCTCCCCACCCTTACATGCTCATGAGTATTAAAAACAAGTGTATAGAAAGAACGGTTTTAGGGCTGGATGGTACTGTTGGTTTGGTCCCAAAATTTGGAAGGTGCCAAGTGCCCACAGCTTTTACTGATTTCAATCTCTTTGTGCCCATCATCCCTTTTGGGCCGATCTCATGAAGTGCTGAGCAAATTGCGCAAACTCTGTGCCTTGCCAGAAGTGCTCGGCACTTCAGAAGACCCAGCCCTGTAAACTCAACAGGGCAACAGAAACTTGGCACCTCTTGGGACCCAGCCCATCATGCTCTAGACTTTCGCTCCTGGAGACGTGAATTTCAGTTGTTAATCTAGTGCATCTGAAATGGAGTTTGAGGGGGGACTCCTAGTCCCCTGTTCTACATGTCATACTAGCACATCTTGGCATAGCTGCCAGCTTTTATTCAACAGAGACTAAAGGACTGGGATAGGAGAGATGTTCAGTACTGAGGCACATTAGCAGGGGCTGTCAGCAGAGATGGACATAAGTGGGCAGGAAAAACTGGCACATGATGTCCTTGGTACCAATATATAGCAGAGGAGAAAATCTGACTCAAAGCAAGGCCTTCCCCCATAGTGCTTCCACGGGTCTGTGTGGAGAAGCTTGCACAAAGCCTGCTCTCAATAAGGCTGGCTGAAGCCAATGCTATTAGACACTCACTCTCATGAGTCTAGTCACTTTTCTAAAACAAAACAAAAACTAATAACCAATATAACATCACTATTACTATAATCTGATATCAGTGTCCAGTGTAAACTCCATTCAAGAGTCATGTGGTCTTAGATATGGAAAGTGCCTAAGGAAAACACACCTCAAACTCAACTCTCCCCGTAGGATATTAAAGTTTCCCTTGCTACAATCCCTGATTAGAACGTGGGTTTTCTAGCTGCGGTAAGATTTGATTATTTTACTTTGGGCTCGGAATAAGATACCTAACATCCCATTTAGCACATCCACACACATTACTCCTGTGGAGAACATATGCCAGTTCTCAGCAAGAGTATCTGGGATACACAGCCCAAAAAGTAAACCACTCCAAGTCAGAGCATTGCAATGCTGGCAACTCAATGAAGCAGGAATTTTTCACCTCTCCTTTGTGCCAGTGGATAGCTGTTTTAAGTGGAAAGGAGCAACATAACACCTGGGGAGAATAAATGAACAAAAGGAGAATATTGACATCTCTTTCTTTTACATTCTAGCCTCAGTGGTTCAGAAGCTGCAGACATTAAAAGATGAAAAACTGCTACAGAATATAACTGAGCTAACCTCCAGCAGTCTTCCACCTCAGCAGGAAATACTGAGGTCCTTGGCTTTACTTCTGACTGAAAATAAAAATGAAATTGGCGAGGCTGTGACATTACTCTTGTCAGCTTCAGCAGAAAACAGGCATTTCAGGGAGAAGGTAGGGGACAGAGGAACCATACCTAACTGAAAAAACAACATACAACATAGACCTATATAAGCATGTTCTGTCTAATGTGTCAAGTAACTTCTCAGAGTCTTGCAGAGTTATTGTAGCTATGTTGGTCCCAGAATATTAGAGAGACAAGGTGGGTGAGGGAATATCTTTTGATTGGATTATTTTATTTGGACCTGAAGAAGAGCTCTGTGTAAGTGCAAAAGCTTGTCTCTGACCAGCAGAATTTGGTCCAATAAAAGATATTACCTCACTCATCTTGTTTCTCCAAGTCTGACATAATATTCAAACATGCAGGTATGCCTATTGATACCTGTCACAGTAATATCTGGTCACTAATTTAAAACTATTTGGTTTGCATTGTATTCTCCAATCATCTATCTTCTTTCAGCATTAGTGGGTGTGCTGGGTTGTTTATCTGGTGATTATTGAAATGCGGCCGGGCCATTCTTCAAGCACTGCCCTTTTGGAAAGAGATGAGGTCTGATATTTTGCTTGGAAGGTGGCAAGATCTGGGCAGCATCCCAATTTCTAGAGGAAAGGAATTGCTGATGAGCAAACAATCAGCTTCATGGTCCCTAATTAGGTGATAAAAAGAATTTGGATCTAGTTTAGATAAAACATGATTTGAAATTAAGGCAGTATAAACAAGTGAACTAAAGAGAAGGGAGAGGTAATGATTGACTTTTGTACCTGCAATACCCTTCCCCATTTCTGCTGCTACCCCAGTGAAAGTTCATTCTTGGGTGCTCTGGTTGTGAGGAGGGGGCAGAACAGGAGGAGGGTGTGATGGGTCCGGAGGGGGTGGGGACGGCAATCCAGATCAGTGAGAGGTTGCGTCACCATTTGCCCTGCAACCCAGGGTGCGCCTCACAATGCTTTGCTGTTGTAGTTCCCAGCCTAGACTGCTCACAACCAGCCTACCAACTTGCAGGTCACAGCCTGAGTGTGTGTTAAACAGCCCTTGTTCAGTGGCTCTGACCCCAGCAGCTTGTCTATAGCCCCACTCTGCCTGCTAGCAGCCATGATTACAAAACCAGCAAAGTGACCCCAACAAGCTCCCCGTCCCAAATTTCCCCCAAGTCGTGTATTGTAGAATATCCAGCCCTCTCCTGGACTGTTCAGAGAAATAAGGTCCATTTGTTCCTCTAAAAACATAACCTACCACTTCACTGGGGTAAATACACCCGTTCATTTAACACTGCACTGAGTTAGTTCATAGTAAAACTAAAACAAGTGTATGAATAATAGGTCATATGTTGAGTGATGCCAAGTAACTGGGATAAAGTTAGAAAGGGTCACAAGCAAATGAAAGTGAAAACATGCATCTAAACTTAGAGTAAGACACGGGTTTTGTTCAAGATGGTTTCTCTCACCAGTCTTGACTAACTTTTTCTCAGTCAGGACCTTCTTCAAAAGCATAAAGGGCTGGTTTCTGTAGTCTTCCTAGGTAAAAGATCTTTGCCTAAGTAGGCTTCTCACCTATAGTCAGTTCCAGAGACTTCAGCCCCAGCTTGGTTAAAGGACCCATCTTTCTTAGTATGCCAAGAGCTCTGTTCTCTTGTTTTTCTAGTCATGGATGCCAAAGATGGCTTCTGTCCTTGCTTATATCTTCCAAAGTTCTATGACTGTTTCAAGATGCAGGATGAGCTCATGCCATTATTCCCGTCCTATGGGCTTCTCACCCCCCTGTATGTAAATGGGGCTTCCATTGTTTTGATTCCACCATGCTTAATTTATCTAGAAGACTGGTGTAATAGGTTCACTACTCACTGCTGGCATACCTCCTCATGGCTAACCTGGGGATTAGTTTGCCAGTGGTTGGATGCACTTTCCTGCAGTCACTCAGCCTGTTGTCTCAATCTCACACTCCAAAAACCAGGGTAGTAGTCTTCCTTGTGACGCAGCTGCTCCCTCTTTGTGACTTGGCCCTCCAGCCAGGTCACTATAGTCCTCCCCTTCCGGGGTCTGTCAATGTCTCTCTGGATAAGCTATTCCTGGTAGTCTTCCATCCTATGTCCAAGGCTGTGCCACTTCCCCGGTGTCTGGTAGGGGAAACTGGGCCCTCCATCTACTCCAAGTTCCAGCTCACAGACCCTATGCTCCACAACTATGGTCTATTTTCTCTCAGACCTGGTTGCTCCTTCCCTGGGCTCTGTCCTACTCCCTCCTTCTATCTTTGGGCACCTCTGGGGTTGCCACCTGTCTGAGCTTCCTTTGCTCCCCCTGGCTGCTTTCCTCTTGGGCTTCTTGCCAGATCATGCAATCTCTAACATACTTTTCTCCTATCAGAGAGTGACTGCAGATTTTCTATCTCTAGCCCCCTTCTGGTGTTAGCTTTATAGAAGCCCTGGCTGTTCCTGCCCAGGTGAGCTTCATCCTTAATTAAGCATTATGGAGCCCTGGCTTCCCTCCAGGTGCAGCCTATGCAGTTAATTGGCCCATCTAGGCTACCTTAATCCCTTCAGGTCTGGTGTGGGATGAACACCTCATCACAACAGATAAACAGGTCCTTCTCTCCTGCCTGGGAGGGAACCTGTTTTTCCCCAGATTGGAAAGCCTAATATCAATGAGTATCAGTAATGCCTTATGTAGTGTTAGTGCGTATAATTCACAATGATATTAATCACCAGCATGTCATAAAAGATCTCTCTGTACACTTTTATAACACAGTACTATTGTATACAATCAGTTGATTCAACTGCTTATTGCTTGAAGTCCCACCCACCCACTGTCTTTAGACTAGTAAACCTTTTACAATGTAGTCTTTGACAAGTAAAACCCACACCAAGCTTCCCTCTCCTGCTGGGTGTCTCCTATCCCACTTGTTAGTGTGAGGTTTGCCTCCACCCGTTATTAACTTGATGGATCTGTTTAGGTGATATGTAAATACATTCTAATTGTCTTTCAAAGTACTTTGGAAGTAACTCATAGGTAGGGAAAACATGTTCCTTTGTCTAGTGCAGACCTGTTTACCAACTCCTCTGGAATGCTTGGTTTAAACACACTTTAGTCATAAGTCTAGCATATACCTTTACCTGTGTACACACAAGCATATTAATCAGTCAGTTATTAGTTTTCAAATGATACCTCACAAGGCATGTTTTGTACTAAGATTATTACAAGAGTGTCGAGGGGGTGAATACAGGGGTGCTTAGTGTCACAGGGGAAATGACAGAATGCAAAAGAAGGGGAGAGAAAAATGCTCACTCCTTTTGGTCATCTTCCTCTGTTCCTCTATTCCCTCTTTCCTCAGTCTCTCTATATTTTATCCTCCCTCATTTTCCAACTGTGCAATATCAGTGCTCTGTACTACCTTGCCCCTCTTCTGCATGGACAAAAAAAAAAAATGTCCCCTTCTCCTAGCACAGGCCTGCTGCATTTATGTCTGGTTCACTGCTAACGGGAAAAGGCAGCATGGTGCTTGTATCAAAACAGCCTGGAATTCACTAGGAGGAGCTGCCTGCTCTTGAGATTTGCGACTAACGCGGATTCTTGTTTGTTTAGCAGTGACTGGAACATTTCTAGAACTGAGCTGTGAACTTGGTTTAGCAGGTTCTGATAGCTTTGTGATAGTCATTTTCATTCTCTCTGAGGTCCAATCCAGCCTAGGTCACTAGTGATCCAAAGTCATTACCACCCCTGGGCCTAGGGGGACCACCTTGAAAGGGGAGAGAGCAGTTCAGTCTCCATCATGACCCACTTACTTCATGGTCTCTCTGAGAAACTTCCATCAAGGGCACCAATTATTGTTGATTGCTTTAATGTGCACACTTTCTTGCTAAGAACTGGACCAAGACCACTAGCTCTTCCCACATACATCACAAAACTTGGGCTGGATTTCAATCAGTGATATACCCCATTATCATATCCAGATTACCTAATACACGATGATTTTTCCTTTTCGTTCCTGTATCCACATTGTTAGGTAATTTGGTTTCTGTGTTTGGAAATGTAGTGATACATACATTACTTTCACTTTTCTGCTCAACACCGCTACAAAACATCTTAATTGATGTCCTTCTCTGTTTTCCAGGCTTTAATTTACTACTGTGAAGTGCTAACACAGCCTAACCTCCACCTACAGAAAGCAGCTTGTATGGCACTGAAATGCCTTCAGGTAAAATGTGAAGCAATCAGTTGTTGAACTTTGTTCTTGCTTTGAACTTCCATGGGAGAACAAAGTAAAGATTCTATTCAATAGAACAGCGGTTCTCAAACTGTGGGTTGGGACCTTATTTTAACAGGGTCCCCAGGGCTGGCTTAGACTTGCTGGAGCCCAAGCCCCACCACCCAGAGCCAAAGCTGAAGCTCAAGGGCTTCAGCCCTGGGTGGCGGGGCTCAGGCTTCGGCTTCAGCCCTGAGTGGCAGGGCTCAGGTTACACGCCCCCTGCCTGGGGCTGAAGTCCTTGGGCTTCAGATTTGCCTCCCACCCCGAGCGCTGGGGCTCAGGCTTTGGCCCCCCCACACCCAGGGCAATGGGGCTCAGGTGGGCTCACTCAGGCTTCGGTCCCCGCCTCCTGAGATCGTGTAGTAATTTTTGTTGTCAGAAGGGGGTCGTGGTGCAATGAAGTTTGAGACCCCTGCAATAGAGCCTCCTGAGCACAGAGATGCACATACAGCAAGACGCAAACAGCAGCAGCAACATGAGCATTGCTTTATATTTTGTATTTTGTGCCCTGATATTTTACAAATGGCTTGTTGGCCTGAATTGTTTAGAATCTTGGTTTTTAAAGCAATCCGTTTCGGATGATTAATTATGCATCTGTCTCTTTGTGCCTTGATAGAAAGAATCTTATTTATCTTAGGCGATAGAGGGTATGTCCTACCTGGAAAAAAAAAATCCAGAGTACAGAGTCTTGGTAGAGGGGAAAAAAATTGTTGTCTTGAGCAAAATTATAATGGACATAGCCAAAAATTGTAAAGGGGGGAAGGAGGGCGGGGAGAGAGAGAGATGGAGATATAATAGCTGTTCTCAATCCCTGAACCTTCATATGGTCCCTGAAGTTAGGTATCTGCAGTAAAAAAAAAAAAAGGTAATATTTCATGAGATATAGACATTACAGAGTGGTGATCCCTCTCGAAACTGCCCTCCGGAGAATATAACTGTACAGTGTAGCCACATATCAGTCCCTGTATCCTTATGTGCATACAGCAATATCCTCTAGCTATTGTGGGACAATGCACCCTCTGTAACTATGACCTTCCAGCTCAAACAAGAGCCATGCAGTGATTATGGCAGATGCCCATAGGACATAAGGGCATTATACCATTAATACTACTAGAATAACTGGTTCTAAAGGGCTCTTTAATCTAACAGAGAAAGGTATAAAGGAACTAACGGTGGAAGCTGAAGCCACACAATTCCAATAGAAATAAAGATACATATTTTTAACAGTGAGGCTGATTAACCACTGGAGCAAACTACCAAGAGATCAAGATTTGGGGACTTCTAGGAAGATATGCTTTAGCCAAACACAAGTTATTGGGCTAAGTACAGGGGTAGCTGTGTGAAATTTAAAGGCCCATGTTATACGGGAGGTCACCCTAGATGATCTAATAGTCCCGTTAAAAATCTATGAATCTGTGAAGAACCTGCCTACAATGGAAAATGGAAACACTTGAGATTTTACTCTTAGCTGACCTGCACACCCACCCTAACCTTAGCCCTACCCCGTTGGCTGGGTTTTTCTGCTATTCTCCTCCTGCAGAGGAGATGGGAGAGAATGAACCAGGACAGATAGTTATGTTGCTTAATGCGCAAATGGAAAGTGCTCAGATACTACAGTGATGGGTAAAGTATATAAGAACCAGAAGAGAAGAAGAGAATCGCTATTTGGAAAAAGACATCAAATTAAACTTTAAAAAAAAAATAGAATAAGTCATCTCCTATTTTGGAGCCACATAAGCTATGTTCCTTTAAACACCTTCTTTCTGGTGTGATGGGACAGCACCCATCTCTGTTCCACTCATGACCACTTTCACAGTTGTAGCATCCATGGCAAGGGCAATCACAACTGTTGCTCTGTCCAAAGGTCTGAGATTTTTGCATCAGAAGTACAGAACAGAGTTACTCCTCGCTCTCTGGGAAAGCAACAAATTGAGCTTAAACATAGAGATGCAAATCACTGTTTGTATGTGTCTGGGGTGGGAGAGAGATGTGGAGGAGGTTTATGTATACCCACACAAGAATACAAATAGATAGTAACTGGTAATGTCAACACACATTTTTTCACTTTCTAGGCTACTGAAAGTATTAAAATGCTAGTTACGCTCTGCCAATCTGACAATGAAGAAATCAGAAAAGTAGCGGCTGAAACCCTTCTCTCTCTTGGTGAGTTGTGTGTGTTCTATTTATTTTACTGTTGTATGTGTTAAGTATCTACTTAACACAGCCAAGAAGCATACACATTTTAAGACAATAAAAATACAACCGGATCTGTAGACTCAAATAGCTTAAAAAGAAACCAAAAGAAATTGTACCAAAACGGGGGGAGGAGGGGAAAATCATACAAAAAGGAGGAAGAAGAGAAGCTAAAAATGGTTGAGAAGGACCTGACCCTAACAGAAATACCTTGCTGGCAACCTGGACCACAAATATTAAAAATTCCATAAAGGCCTACCCTGTGCAAAGTAAGATGAGAAAAGGGGTAGGTTTTCTAACTTAGTGTTTCTCAACCTTTTTGATACCAGGGACCAGCTTGCTGCCTTTGTAAACTGTGTCAGGGAGATCTCAGGGACTGGCACCAGTCTACGGACCAGTCGCTGAGAAACATTGATCTAACTTACACCTTCTGACGTGGCCCTGTTGGTGGGGGGGGTTTCCCTACAACTCTGCCCCCTTATTCCCTCAGCCAGTAAATTACACTGACACATATTCACCATGACAAACCAGCATGTTACTAATCCCTCTATATAGCCCCAAATTTGGCCTTCTTTTCTCAAACCCAAATAAAATTAACCTTGGGTCAGAAAGCAAGAGCAACCAAATCGATCTCATTTCCCTTGCAGATCAATGTATATAGGGTGGGGAAAAGTATAGAGAAATAAAAGGGATATTAATAACCAGAGCTCTTGGGAATGCTGGGGTTCTGCAGGCAGGGAATCCAATCCCCGCTGAACTTCTTTCCAGAATCAAAGATACAATTTTCTTAACAATTAAATCTCTAGCCCTCGCAGCTATGAAGAAACCCTTCCAAACATGAACAGTGTACAGTATACTGATGGTCTTTTTGAGTCTGCAGACAACTGGAAACAATAAATCTGTGAGATGTAAACTGGCCTTTTCATCTCAGTAGGGTGTTAATTGTTAACTGTTCCACTGGTGATCATTTCAGCAGGAACATCCAACCCCAGATTGCCTCCCACACCTCCTCAGGGGCCAAAAGCTTGATCTGTTCTCTGCTCAGCTGGCAAAACTTCCCTTTCCACCAGATAGCTGCTGCAATGCACTGGTACAGTGTCAATTAAAAAAGCCCCAGCAGCACTCTGAAAAGTGAAAATGTGGGGAACAGCTTAAAATGTAATACAAATGTTACCACCACTAGGGCTTCTGCACTGACTGGAATATTTCCATATGTCATTAAAAATAAATTTCTTAATTTAAATGAAGCTGCAACAGAACTTCAGCTCTGCTTCCCCAGGGTTCAGAGACCTTGCCACAGCGTACCCCGGGGCCATAGCTATAATAGTTATACTGGCAACCTTGTCAGGGAGCAGGGAGATTAAGATTTAACTAGTTCCTTGTGGCTCATAGAGGTGATATTCTATGAAATTCACTCTGCACACACAGACTGTATGAGCAGATGCTATTTAGTGCAAGAGGGACAGTGACAAACTGGAGTCCTGCGGGCAGTGCTGCTCTGTCCCCCATTATTGCTATGACAGCTCGTGAGCTGGAAGAATGGTCACAGACCTTTTTTTACATGTTGCAAGGAGTTAAATTCCCCTGACCCACACCAAGCTCACCCTCTGCAGGGCCATCATGAAGCCTCTTTGATAGTCCACAGATTCCCCTCACTAGCTTTCCTCCTACATAGCCCCACAGCAAGATTCAACTAGAGTAGCATAGAGGACTTTGTGACCCTCTGCACCATAATGATTTTCACAATAGTGTCTCTTCTCTTGTAACAGTGCACTCACTTCTCACTAACCAAGCAGCTATTTTCATTACAACTGGTGTACTAGTGTTTAATAAAGGAGAAACACGCTGAGGATCTGATCCAGCATTCTTTATGCACCTGAAACTGATGTTCACAGAAGTTTTGAATATGAAAGAATGCAGGATCAGGCACAGAGGGGCACATCCAGCCTCCACCTTTGTGGATGTGAAGTCCTCTTGGTTGTTAAATCGACTGGGCCAGATTAATTTGGGCGGGGGGAGGGGAAGCAACTGTGTAGATCCCTCCATTCTGCCTCCTCGTGGCAGGCAGATGTTGGGGGTTTAGTCAGTCGTTAGGCTGGAGTAATCACTAAAAGCAGCTCTGCAGTTACTCTGTGTCAGTGGGGAAGGGGAGATTCCTTTTGCCCGTACTCTTTCCCATGGAGATACCCAGGACCTAAGCCCACTATTGCAGAACAACTGAGTATTTGAATGAGGCTAGATGCACCACTTCAGCCAAAGTTACACAAGTTCTTCAAACACTCTTTTCAGTTTATCACACTCACTGACAAGCTGCATGGAAACTTCTTAAAGACACCATAATAGACGCTCAACTTAAATGTATACCTCAAATTAAAAACCATACTAAGAGAACCAAAAAAGTGCCATCGTGGCTAAACAACAAAGTAAAAGAAGCAGTGAGAGGGAAAAAGGCATCCTTTAAAAAGTGGAAGTTAAATCCTAGTGAGGAAAATAGAAAGGAGCATAAACTCTGGCAGGTGAAGTGTAAAAATATAATTAGGAAGGCCAAAAAACAATTTGAAGAACAGCTAGCCAAAGATTCAAAAAGTAACAGCAAAAATGTTAAGTACATCAAAAGCAGGAAGCCTGCTAAACAACCAGTGGGGCCACTGGACGATCGAGATGCTAAAGGAGCACAGAAAGGGGATAAGACCACTGGGGCGAAACTAAATGAATTCTTTGCATTGGTCTTCACAGCTGAGGATGTGAGGGAGATTCCCAAACCCGAGCCATTCTTTTTAGGTGACAGATCTGACTAACTGTCCCTGATTGAGGTGCCATTATAATAGGTTTCGGAACAAATTGATAAACTAAATAGTAATAAATCATTAGGATCAAATAGTATTCACCCAAGAGTTCTGAAGGAACTCAAATGTGAAATTGCAGAACTACTAACTGTGGTATGTAACCTATCATTTAAGTCAGCTTCTGTACCAGATAACTGGAGGATAGCTAATGTGACCCCAATTTTAAAAAAGCTCCAGAGGCGATCTCAGCAATTATAGGCCGGGAAGCCTGACTTCAGTACTGGGCAAACTGGTTGAAACTATAGTAAAGAACAGAACTATCAGACACATAGATGAACACTATTTGTTGGGGAAGAGTTAACATGTTTTTTATAAAGGGAAATCATGCCTAACCAATCTATTAGAATTCTTTGAGGGGGTGGGTGTCAAGGAGCATGTGGACAAGGGTGATCCAATGGATATAGTGTACTTAGATTTTCAGAAAGCCTTTGACAAAGTTCCTCACCAAAGACTCTCAAGCAAAGTAAGCTGTCATGGGAAGGTCCTCTCATGGATCAGTAACTGGTTAAAATATAGGAAGCAAAGGGTAGGAATAAGTGGTCTGTTTTCAAAACAAAAAGAGGTAAATAGTGGTGTCCTCCAGGGGTCTTTATTGGGACCAGTACTGTTCAACATATTCATAAATGATCTGGGAAAACAAAACTACTCAAAATAGTTAAGTCCAAAGCAGACTGCAAAGAGTTTTACAAAGGAACCTCACAAAACTGGGCAACAAAATGGCAGATAAAATTCAATTTTGATAAATGCAAAGTAATGCACATTGGAAAACATAATCCCAACTATACATATAAAATGGTGGGGTCTAAATTAGCTGTTACCACTGAAGAAAGACATCTTGGAGTCATTGTGGATAATTCTCTGAAAACATCCATTCAGTGTGCAGTGCAGTCAAAAAAGCTAACAGACTGTTGGAAACCATTAAGAAAGGGATAGATAATACAGAAAATATCATATTGCCTCTATAAATCCATGGTACGCCACATCTTGAATACTGCATGCAGATCTGGTCACCCCCTTTCAAAAAAGATGTATTGGAACTGGAAAAGCTACAGAAAAATGATTCATGGTATGGAACAGCTTCCATATGAGGAGAGATTAATAAGACTGTGACTTTGCAGCTTTGAAAAGAGATGACTAAGGGGGGATATGATGGAGATCTATAAAATCATAACTGGTGTGGAGAAAGTAAATAAGGAAATGTTATTTACTCCTCATAACACAAGAACTAGGGGTCACCAAATGTAATTAATAGGCAGTAGCTTTAAAACAAACAAAAGGAAGTATTTCTTCACACAATGCACAGTCAACCTGTGGAACTCCTTGCCAGAGGATGTTGTGAAGGCCAAGACTGTAACAGGGTTCAAAAAAGAACTAGATAAATTGATGGAGGATAGGTCCACCAAAAGCTATTAGCCAGGATGGGCAGGGATGGTGTCCCTAGCCTTTGCTTGCCAGAAGATGGGAATGGATCACTTGATGATTACCTGTTCTGTTCATTCTCTCTGGGACACCTGACATTGGCCACTGTTGGAAGACAGGATACTGGGCTAGATCAGGGATTGGCAACCTTTGGCACGCAGCCCATCAGGGAAATCCACTGGCAGGCTGGGACGGTTTGTTTACCTGCAGCCTCCGCAGGTTTGGCCGATCGCAGCTCCCACTGGCCACGGTTCACCGTTCCAGGCCAATGGGGGCTGCGGGAAGCGGCAGCCAGCACATCCCTCGGCCCACGCCACTTCCCGCAGCCCCCATTGTCCTGGAACGGCGAACCGCGGCCAATGGGAGCTGCGATCGGCCGAACCTGTGGAGGCTGCAGTTAAAGAAACCGTCCTGGCCCACCAGCGGATTTCCCTGACCGGATGAGTGCCAAAGGTTGCCGATCCCTGCGCTAGATGGACCTTTGGTCTCACCCAGTATGGGCGTTCTTATTGGCTCACCAAGAATTCATGCTATTATTGGATATGGTATTGCTTGAGACACAAAAAAATCCTTAACCCAGGGTTGTTTGTGTAAAAGATCACATTGCCACTCTGACCTGCCTTATGGCACATGGAGACCTCATTCACTTCTCTGAAAGCACATGCAAAATATTAGTTAGATTGGACATAATATGATGAAGTTCAAACAGAAAACAATAATGAAAAAGGAAAGCTGATAAGACACAACAAAAGCACTGCTTACTCTTTTCTATTTGTGACATAGGTAAACTTAGCTTGGAAAGACAGACCATTTAGCAGTACACCTGTGCAAACAGCATCACATGATCACAAGGCTCACCTGCTTCATCTTTGCTCCAAACAAATCTTCTCCACTTAGCCCAAACATTTTGTAATGCTATTCAGACCATCTGCAAATCCATACTCCTTAATTACAGATCTGTAGCTCTCATTAAAGATTAAAGTATATCATGTTTTAATTTACTCAAATCCTTCCTTTGCCTATTTATTTTGATTATTTAAGTGCCCACAATTTTACACAATTCCATATAAAACTGAAACGTTACTACACCATCAGTGAATTTAGTAGATTGCCTGTACAAATAAAATTTAAAAATTACACTCTGGCCACCATGCTATTACATATTAATCCATCTCTTCTGAAAATGTGGTGTGAAACTGATAGCAAGAATTTTTATATACCATGCAAAAACATTTGGTAGAAGATAGCTTTTTGAGAAGACAGACAGTGGAAAAGAGTAGGCAATGGTGTTCCAATATATTTATTGCAAGTAAACAGTATGTGGATTATCTACTACCACAGAGATGCAGAGTAAAAGTTTTTAAGGAATAGTTTGAACATTCACAGCACGCTCAATTTTTGTGGCTAATTTCTTAATTTGCACTGAACATATGAAAGTCCCTGTAGAAAAAGTCATCAGCAAAGCAATTCTTTCCACAGAAAGGAGTGCAGGGTGTGGGATTTTGTGTACACAAATGATGCAACGTTTTATTTATACTTTACTGTTTTGTGTTCAGGTGAAGATGGGCGACTGGCATATGAACAGCTGGATAAATTTCCTCGGGAATTTGTTAAAGTTGGAGGCCGTCGGGGGACTGAAGTTGCCACAGCTTTTTAGACTCAAGATAATCTGCCTAACAGTTAACAGTCATTATGACTATTCACATTAATTGCAACGGTGCTGTAATTTAACTGCTTTAAAAACAAACAACCTTTTGAAGAATGCTAAAGAATGTCCAGAAAGTTAGCAACTTATAGACTTTTTAAGGGGGAAAAAAAAGTGTAAATTCCAGTTATTGAGTTCCTATTGGCTTTTCTTCCTAGCTTATGATGGAACAGTTGTATGTCAAAGACAATGCTTCTTCAAGTGCTTCAGAGTAAATGATGTAGTTGCAGTAAATCATTCTCAGCAAACTTCTAAAAGATTTTAGAATTCAGCATCTTAATATTTTTACACAATTTTGCACTTGTTTTATTGAAGTTGTTGTTGTGTACTTTTGAAATGTGATGCTGCATCTAAAAAGGAAAAGTAGGGAGCAAACCAAGTGGAGCTACAAAGCAGCTTTCTCTCCACATTGCGCTAAGTGTTGGATACCGTGCAAGGTTCCTAGCAGCATTATAGCAGCATGGACCGAAACTCAGCTACCCAGATCTATTTTACCGATGAAACATAGATCAAGTTTCTTCAAATCAAGTTTTGCCTCCAGAAACAACAGGCTGTAAACCCCAGGAGATGTTATTTCACTGACTCATTTTAAATGCCTCTGCGCTGGTCTTTTATTCCTCCCTCTCACCCTCCAGTAATGAACCATGATTAATCCAGGGATTTGCTTGTGCTGTCAAGCAATTACGTAGGTTTTACAAAAATAAATGGAAGGTTACATGTGCTCATTGTTCAAAAAGAAAAAGTGAATATAATACAATTGCATGAATCCCTGAAGCCATTTTTGTTTCCTAGGTTACAGGAAGGAGTGGGCTACATGCACTCTGGCTAGTGCATAGCAGCTTGCTATAGAGTAATTTCAGTATAAAGAATTAAAGCAAACTAAAGAGGACCTTGGAGCTTTAAAGACAGGGTGCAAATAAAAGCGTTTCCTCCCCCTCCAACTCCAAGTATGAAAGACTGAGTGATTCAAACTATTGATTGTAGCCCTTAAGTTACACTCACCTCCTTCTGTTAACTTAACAGAAGAGCATTGTTGTACTATAGTACATCTGACATGAAATACTATTTAGATGTTAATTAAAACATCCAGCTTCTGATAGACTATACAGAAAATGATCACTAATAGTTGACTTCAAAAAGAAGCCTTGTGCGCCAAATACATTGGCAGACAGTTTTTCTGACTGTGAATGTTACCAACAATGTACATACAGCTGTATATTTATAAATATATATATATATTATAAATAAATATATATATATATATTCTTCCTTTAATTAAAGATACATTTGTACAGTCTAAAATATTTACTTGTTTACTGAAGGAAATAGGCTCTTTTTACAGAAGGTTAAATAATCATGTCATGGTTTTTATATCGCAGCTACTGCATGAGCAGATTCTCCCATCATGTTCTTTTGTTCTGACATCTGCTTATTTTTTGCCTTCTAGCTTTGTGACAGTTGTACTCATATTTCCTATCACATTTAAGTTATAATAAAGAATATTTTTAATCACTAAATACATTGGTCCAAACTATAAAATGTGTGTGCTCAACCTTCTCCATTGTGAGGACTAAATAACCTTAATACACATTTCTCAGGTTTTTGTCTACACTGGAAATTGGCCCCCAGCACCAGCCATCATTGGCCGCTAATCACTGTAGCTGTCCCAGGGCACAGCCCATCCGTTGTGGACAAGGAACGCCTCAGTTCTCAATGGTGCAACTCCCTTCAGGCTGGCACTGGGGCAAATCCCCAAAATAGTTAATTAAGGTCTTAGTTTGCTACTTGTGGCAGCTCTCTTTGTGCAGTAGGATGGCTCCAAGGAAACAATCTGCTAGTAGAGATTCACTGTTGTACTGATGTACTATCATGAAGGTATTTCATAATAACATCTGGGGAAGGGGTTACTAGTTCTGTTTTAACAGGTCTTGTCTCCACTACAAAATTAATACACAACTTTGAAAAGTCTAGTTAAATAACAATGCTATCTACTACTTTGCAATTAGCGTAGCCAAGGGGAAGTCCTGTTCAGCATCATGTCAGCGAATCATGGTTAAACCTTGGTGCAACACTACCTAAGTGCTCTGGTTTTCACTACATCCAGGAGTCCTTGGAAACATGTGAATGGGGCTGGGCCCCTGTATTCTGTTAATTTAGAGTTTTACACAGTACTGCAGCTTCTCATGGAATTCAGTGGCAAAAATTGCAATGCTAGCTTGTTTTTTTTCCTCTTTTGCCTTTTCATGGGTGACTAGATTTGTAGCCCTAAATTTCTGCTGGCCAGGAGACGCTATAGTGACAGATTGTTTTAGTTATTAAAACAAAAAACACATACAAAAAAGGCAGAAAAAACAAAGGGAAGAAAAATCAGCATGGAAAGGTGGAGGGGTATGATTAGCTGAAGTCAAGGAAATATGGAGCCAATGATCTAATGCAGGGGTCAGCAACCCTCAGAAGTGTTGTGCCGAGTCTTCATTTATTCACTCTGATTTAAGGTTTTGTGTGCCAGTAATACATTTTAACGTTTTTAGAAGGTCTCTTTCTATAAGTCTATAATATATAACTAAACTATTGTTGTATGTAAAGTAAATAAAGTTTTTAAAATGTTTAAGAAGCTTCATTTAAAATTATATTAAAATGCAGAGGCCCCCGGACCGGTGGCCAGGACCTGGGCAGTGTGAGTGCCACTGAAAATCAGCTTGCATGTCGCCTTTGGCATGCGTGCCATAGGTTGCTCTAATGCTAGTCTCCAGTACCCACCATCTACACAAGGCATTTCAAGCCAGATTTATTTAAGGTGTAGAGCTTTTTCACAACACTAGACCCAGGGTGGGGGGAGTAATCATTATGTGATTGGTATTATCTGAATTTCTGCAAAGCAAAATGAGAAATTATTTTAATCGTGTTTTAAATAAAAACATTATTTTGGAAATATAATAGGCTTGTGTCTGGTTTCTGTTGTTCCTTCCCTCCCTACTCTAAAATAAGTGTACAGCCGCTGGTTATAGCATGCTGCACACATTGTTTTAAACCAGTGGTTCTCAAACTATTATACTGGTGACCCCTTTCACATAGCAAGCCTCTGAGTGCGACCCCCCCCCCTTATAAATTAAAACCACTTGTTTATATATTTAACACCATTATAAATGCTGGAGGCAAAGTGGGGTTTGGGATGGAGGCTGACAGCTCACCCCCCCCCCCCATGTAATAACCTCACGACCCTCTGAGGGGTCCCGACTCCCAGTTTGAGAACCCCTGTTTTAAACCAACTGAACACATTTACATTCAGACATCTGAAGATGATAATGTGTTACAATGAAATGGGGGCATTAGGGCATAGAACATTCATTTGCTAAAATAAATCCTCTGATGTCATCAGATTCTGTGTGACAACAAAGAGCTGCTTCCATTTTTCATTCTGTTTATTAACTTTATTCTAAAGTGTTGCTTAGTTACTAACCTGAATGATTTTCTTCAAAATCAGAATACTGTTGCTTTCCAGCTGTTTCCTATTTAATTTCAGAGCACACAGATTTCTACACACACTGAAGAAAGTCATTAAGGACAACTTCTTGAGGAGTCACTGAAAGTATGTTTAAGAAGCTCCAAGCTTGTTATGAAACTTACATCAAAACCTTTTTCTCTTCTGTGAAGGAAGAGCCCTACACTCCAACTGGCAGCATTTTTCATAAGCAAAAAATTGTTAGATATGGCACCAATTTGAGGAACACACAACTACCCCTGGAACAGAGAGCTGAAGCTGCAAAAAATATTGGACTGCTAGCGTACACAGGTAACAAGGCAAACTGGCTGGTTGAAATATTTCTTCTGCTTTCTTGTTTGCTATTTCAGTATAATTTAAACCTGCAGTTTCATATATGTGCTAAAATAAGGCTAGTGTTTTTCAGGCCCAATATATTCAGATTCTATCACTGGTAATTTTATCCTGCCAAACTAAATTCCCACTGCAGTTTAATTGGATATCAAGTTCTTCTCTTCATCTGCTAAGTAGTGTTGCTTTTGTAACACAGCTGCATTCCATAAACGTGTTTCCTATTTATTTACCACACAAACCATAAACAGCCTACAGTATGTATAGGAAGTAGTTTGCATATATACTAGATGTAGTTTGTGTGTATACACACAGAGGATGTGTCAAGTGACTATCACTGATTATATATATTGCTAATTCTTACATAGGATACTTTTAATGTGTGTATTAAATTTGAAAAGTATGTGAGGATTCTTGGGATAATATATTGTAATAAATCCAACTCTGCACTTTTAGAGCATATTTCGAGTGCTTTGTAAACATTTTTAATTAATCACAACACCCCTGTGGGCATATGCAAATATTGGCCCCATGTTTCAGATACTGAAATTGGTGCATTGAAAGGTTAAAGCCCAGATCCTCAAAGGAATTTAAGTGCCTAACTGCCATTGAAATCAATAAGAGTTAGGTACCTAAGTTTTTGAGGATCTGGGTCCAGGTGGCCTGACCAAGGTCACAAAGCGTGTGGCAGAGAGAGGAGGAAAACTTCTATGTTTCATCTCCCAGTTCTACAATTTAGGGTACATCTATACTTGCAAAGTTACAGCACCGGCAGTTTTAGCACCGCTCAGAGAGCGCTGAAGGAAAACCACTGTTGTGTGTTCACACTGACAGCTGCCTGCGCAATAGCATTTTCACACTTGCAGCACTTGCGGTGCTATTCGGAGCGGTGCACTCTGGGCACCTATCCCACAGAGCACCTCTTTCTCTTTTGCCACTAAGACTTGTGGGAAGGCGGAAGGGGTCACAGGGCATCCTGTTCCCTGTCCCAATGCCCCATAATGCATTGCTTCGCATCCCAGCAATCCTTGTGCTTCTATCCTCATTTGGCATCATCTTTCAACGGTTTGTGTACTGCGCACCCTCTTCTGCCTCTTTCTGGCTGCAGGAATGGATCCCGAACTGTTGACCAGAATGCTGCTCGCACTGACCAACACATCACGAGTGTCAGTGGAGTTATTCCTTAAACTACAAAGGCAAAAGGAGTGTGACATTGATCTCGCCACACATACTAGCTATGACACGAGAACGCTTGTGTCATTCACGGAGGTGCTGACCACAGTGGAACGCTGCTTTTGGTCTCGGGAAACAAGCACTGAGTGGTGGGATCACATTGTGATGCATGTCTGGGATGACAAGCAGTGGCTGCAGAACTTTCAGATGAGGAAAGCCACATTCATGGGACTGTGTGATGAGCTCACCCCATCCCTGCGATGCAAGGACATGAGAATGAGAGCTGCCCTGTCGCTGGAGAAGCACGTAGCGATTGCACTGTGGAAGCTGGCTACTCCAGACTGCTACCAATCAGTCGCTAACCAGTTAGGAGTGGGAAAGTCGACTGTTGCAGTCGTGTTGATGGAAGCGTGCAGGGCCATTAATTGCATCCCGCTCCAAAAGACCGTGACTGTGGGCAAGATACGTGAAATTGTGGATGGCTTTGCACAAATGGGCTTTCTTAATTGCAGAGGGGCAATACATGGCACGCACGTTCCAATTCTGGCACCAGACCACCTAGCCACCAAGTACATTAATTGCAAGGGGTATTTCTCAATGGTTCTCCAGGTGCTTATGGATCACCATGGGCGTTTCACAGACATTAACGCAGGCTGGCCTGGAAAGGTGCATGACGCACGCATCTTTCGGAACACTGGCCTGTTCAGGAAGCTGCAAGTAGGGACTTTCTTCCCAGACTAGATGATCACTGTAGGGGAAGTTGAAATGCCCATTGTGATCCTGGGAGATCCCGCTTACCCCTTAATGCCGTGGTTCATGAAGCCATACACGGGGCAATTTGACAGCAGTAAGAAGCAGTTCAACAACAAGCTGAGCAAGTGCAAAATGACTTGAGTGTGCATTTGGCCATTTAAAAGCCCGCTGGCGATGCCAGTAGGGGAAGCTGGACATGGCCGATGACACTATTCCTATGCTTATAGCCGTGTGCTGTACGCTCCATAATATTTGTGAAGGGAAGGGTAAAAGCTTCTCTCAGCACCGGACCACAGAGGCTCAGCACCTGGAGACTGAGTTTGAACAGCCAGAGACCAGGGCTATTAGAGGGGCACAGTGCAGGGCTATAAGGATCAGGGATGCTTTGAGACAGCAATTTGAAGCTGAAAGCCACTAATATTTGTTGCTATGCTCAGGACTGCAGTGCTTGTAAGGAGGTGACTGGTGCATATGATGCAAGAAGGGGACATAACATAATTGCATATTGCTTTGCAGTCTCTTTTTGCTTTCACTTAATAGAATAAAGATTGCTTTCAAACAAACACAATTATTTTATTCAAAGACAACAACCAGAGGAGAGAATCAAATGAAAAAAAAATCATCAGCAGGGAGGGGGGAAGGGAAGGTCTCAAGAGGCGGAGAGGTCCAGGGACGACTACAGATTTGTGTATGTCCAGGGATCATACCCAACCTTCTCCTTTGGAGTACAATGCCGTGGGTGCTGTACTTCAGCAGGGATAAACTACAGAGGGACGGGTGTTGAGTGCAGTGAGTCCACAGGGCTGGACTGTGACCAGGTAGGAGTGGAATGCAGCGGGTACAAACTGGAGCCAGGAGGTTGATAAGAGTGTGTTGGCAGGGTGTGTGGGGGTGGGGGGAGGAGAAGGGGACACACATGGGAAAGAGTTTTGCGACAGCAGCTGCCGGGGAAGGCGGGCAAGGAGGTGCTCGGTTTGAAGAGCTAGTACCGCCTGGAGCATGTCCGCTTGGTGCTCCATAACTGATGAGAGCCGCTCCATGGCTTCTTTCTGGTGTACTGCATTCTCCTTTCGGTCCCTCTTCTCGCTGTCCTGCCACTCCTCCAATTCCTTTTTCTTGGTGGTGGAGTGCATCATAACCTCACGCATAAAGTCCTCCTTAGTTCTTCTTGGATGCTTCCTAATTCTTTGCAACCATTCTGCCGCCGATAAAGAGGGAGGCTGTGCTCCCAAGGTCATCTCTGAGAAGTTTAAATGCAACATTTTACAAAAGCAGTATTGTTTGCAACACAGACAACACTGTTTCAGTGCTTTAAAACACAGCCAGTACTCATACAGCTGTCACTAACTGGCTGACCCCAGGCAAGCACACAAAAGCCACAAGACCCCCAAAATCGTGGGTAGCCGCAGGGGTATGATAAATCGTTGTTCTCGGACCCTGCTGTACATTGGGCAGGTGGCTCTTGGGCACTTGGAGAGAGCCAGCATTGGAGGGTGGGCCTGATAATCATTCCTGTCCCCACACTTTCCACAGGAGGTGATCATTATGGAAGAGATCTTGCTGCTGAGGGTGAGCAGGGAATCAAGGGAGCGTCTTTTTCAAGCCTGCAGCTTCC